TCAACCTTACCAATACCACCATCTTTTCTAGCGACATTGGTCCAGGCCAACCAGGTGTATTCGGAATCAGTAGAAGCAAACAAGACTTGAGCATCTTTTTCAGCAAACTTCTTGACAGCATCAGAGTAAGCAATGATTTCGGATGGACAGACAAAAGTAAAAGCTAATGGGATGAAAGCCAAAACGACCCATTTACCTTTGTATTGTTCCAAAGTGACTTCTTCGAAAGCACCATCAACGACGGCGGTTTTTTTGAAAGATGGAGCTGGTTGTTGGACGACTGGAGCCATTGTGTTATTAATAATTGATCAATTGAATTGTTGTAAAAGAAAAAAGGAAAAAGGAAGAATTAACAAAGAAAGAAAAAAAAAAAGTGAGGGCAAGAAGTTGTCTTTATAAAGAATTTCAAACTCGCTGGGAAATTTTGGCATATGATTTCCCGACGGTTTCCTTTTCCTAACTGTGGCAATCCCGTTTTCTTCCTCTGTTTGTGTGCAGGCCATTTTTTTCGATGATCTCTTAGTAATTAAGAGAAAATTTATTACGAGGACGCGCGAGTCTAGGTCCTCGTCGCTGATTTGTAATACGTTTTCATTGATAAGGGGAGGGAACACACACTCAGCCAATTGAGTGCGAATTAAATGGTTACACTTAGAAATTAATGGAACACTGTCACCATTGACTGGTAACGGGGTTTGTATGAACAGGTCTAGACTGTAAGTTGTAACTGATTACATTCTTATGATAATCCTATAAGTTTCAGTGAATCTTGTTGGTTGTACCAACCTCATCGGAATGTAGCCGATCAGTGGAGGTTTATAGCCGATAAGCAAATCTTATCTTGAAGAAATGTAATATTCAAGGACTTTCCAATTATTTGGAATACTGTTAGTCTTCTTGTAGAAATCAGTCTGTGTTAAGGGGTAGAAGGAGCAGCATTGCATAATGTGCCATGCCCTCCCCCACATTGTTAAATAATATTTGGTCCATAGGATAATGAATGGCGCACAAAACTTTACTCCTCTCTTCTTCGATGACACACGTTACACCAGGTCCCGTTTCTCGAACAATGTAGTTGATCAATTGGGATGATAAGATGTAAGATGCAATTTCCTAAATAGGGAAATATAATGGCAACAGACGCGTCTACAAAGGTGTTACGAAGGACTCAAGACAAATAATCAGAATAATTGGCCTAGTGCACCCATCCACTTAAAGATTAATTGCATTAACAAATGAACTGTTTTAATCTAAAGAATTAAACATTCTAACTGATTGCTATCTATACCACTCTTATATTACATGTAATTCGGAATTAATCAGATATATATTTGTTGTGATATTTATAAGTCTTTTGCAGAATTTTTTGCAACCAATACAATAACCAAAAGATTCAGTAAAGATTTTCGCCAATTTCTCTTAAAATTGCAAACACATCCATATATGATTACAATAACTAAATTTACAAACTAAAATATGTTGCTATATTACAAATTTACTATACTTACTCAGCATTACACAGATCCTACTAGACAACAGTTTCCAAGTTTTTATCATTATGTCTATCCTTTTTAGTAGCTGCTCTGATTCGCATAAGCATCAATTTATCTGGCTTCAAATCCTCCAAGGAAATTGGCGTATTACAACCGGCAATAGGACAAGTACGTTTAGTTCTTAAATGTGATTTAATACTGACATCTTCATAAGTATGACCACATATCAGCGAACATACTGGATTATCATAATAATTAAGCGTAATTGCATCTTTTAATGATATTGTACCACCAGAAATATTCAATTCATCATCTTCATTCTCATCAGGAATAGCTTCTTCTGGATGATTTATTACAAAAATTGCATCCTTAAGAAACTTATAATATCGCTGATTAGTAGAAACTGGGGGATCCAGTGGTAGATTATTAAATTCTTGGGTTATAACACCTGGAAAACTGGGATTATTCATCTTTTGAAATTCTTCTAATGAATTTAAATTAAGTTCTCTTAATTGAAGACCTGTAACTTCTCTAACACTTGGTAAATCATGAACTTGTTTCAATTTCTTAGTTTCTCTTTCCACTTTATTAAGATTATCCAAGGATGTTATATATTTTTGAAGTATAGACTCAGAAAACTCCAAATTACTATTAGCTAAAATATAATTGATATAATGATCTGCCATACTTGTCACTTGTTTGAATTGTTGTCCATAAATAACATCAGTGGAGTCTGGAATAAACTGTTGTTCAAATTCTCGCATGAACTCTCTTCGTAAAGGAACATAAGTGGGAAGTGACAAATCACTTGGTAAAGTATTCTCTTCTTTTACTTCTACTTCAAAGTCTGACATAATGTTTTAGTACTTGATGGATAAATTCTTCAAAACTGGAACAAGAGTTCTATCAAGCGTATTGCAGTTTTTCTTTTTCTTTTTCGCTCTGGCTAAATTTTTTTTTTCTTTTATATTCTAGATCAAATATTTTTTTACTGACGCGTTCTTTTTTTTACATTTGATTTTGCTTCTTGTGAGTTTAAATAAGCACATAGTATTTCATTTATTTATCGCTAGTAGAATATACATTGCACTTACACACCAAAGTATCGCTCACGTCAAAGAAAAGTATATTATCAACTTGTCAAACACCAGTTTCTGTGACTTTTCCAACTTTCCATTTGACATTTCTTAGAACAATATTTTGCCCTTTTACATAGCTTACACTTTGCAAATTGTCTTGGAAAGTCTTCCCACTTGTGACAGTTTCCACACTGACGAAGTCCTGATGCATTTCTACGACAACTGTTGCGCATAATTACACCAGCCCAGTAGTGCATCTCGGTACCAGATAAAAATGTAAACTTTTCCACTAATGGGAACAAACTAACCTTTTTATACTCAATCAACGAATCATCGATGTCTTCACTGTATTCATCAATGTCAAAATACTTGTATTCTTCATAATTCCACTTCTGCTCAAGAAACTCTTTCGATTTCATTCGTGCACCTATGATTGTGTTCTTCAACTTTCTGCTCTCAACTTCAATAAACTTATGCAATTCGCCATACATCTGGAATAAGGAAATTTCCCGTTCACATTCATCTGGTATAGATTCACATTCTAGTATATTTTCATATAGTCTTGGTAAGTAGTTGGAATACTCCATGCCAAAATCAGCCATGCTTTTGGTAGACACCGATCCCTCACTATAATCATCAGTAGCTTCTGGATTTTTCTTCTTCATCATCATCATCTCCATGAATTGCACCATTATTTATTATTATCATCTTTCATCACCAGCATCGACATCGTCATCATCGTCCTCCTCTAGTTCTGTGGTTTCTGTTAAGCCACCAGATCCACACAAATCAAATTTCCCGGCTTCCATAATAAAATTGTCATCATTCAAGGCCGTCACCATTTGTGGTGAATTTGATGCACTCGGATGGAATGCTTCCAAGTACGTCGATCTAGGTTTTCTTGATTTAGGAGTGATGCTAGCGCGTAATTTTATAGCTAATGTCTTTTTCATTTTCAATTTCATTTGTCTCTCTAGATATATCTTTAACTGTTTATCTCTAATACTCATATCTAGCACCAAATGAGTATTTTGTAAAGAATCCTTGAGGTACGGATACTTGGAAATATATGCTAATAATTGCAAAGACCACACAATGTCATCATCTCTAGGAATAACAACACCTGTTTCTGTAAACGATCTAACAAATGCCCGCAGATTGTTATAAGCTCTGTTGATCTCGAAATCTCTTGCATACATATCTGAAAGAAACTGCAAATTACTATCCATATCAAAGTCGCAATCATTTATGAAATCATAATCCAAAAACTCCATTTGTTTCTCCTCTCTAAGCTTGTTTAATATTGTGACAATTATGTACCTTCTTCTGATATCATTATTGATAGAACTATATGGTTTCCCCGTTTCGGATTTACTTATAGACGAAATACGTATCAACTTAAGTAACTGCTCCACTGTATAATCATCATAATCATCACTTGTCAAATTTATATCAAGACTGTTACCAGAACTATTAGAGTGACTGCTTGAAATTGACGTAGCCTCAATAGCAGCAGTTGCCATTTGAATTGGATTTTGGAAATCAGCTTGAGGGACAACAGGAGCATCAATATTGGTAGCATCAATATCGTGCTGCGACTGTTGTCTTTGAGCCTGTCCTGGCGATGGCAATACCTGCTGTTGTTGTTGTTGTTGTTGCTGTTGAGTTTGTTGAGTTTGTGGTGGTGGTGGTTGCTGTGCTTGTTGTCGTTGATCTTCTTGAGTCCCTACAGTTTCTGGTAGTCTTGTTTGTTCTGGTTGTTGGAAATGACGAAATAAATTATTATTTGTTGGAGTGGTCTCTGCAGGACCACTGTTTTCAACTTCTGATGTTTCATGTGGAGGAGTATCTTCAGTAGGAGTGGGAGTGGGAGTTGTTGTTGTGGTGGTTGCTGTATTTGTGGTAGTAACTGTAGAACCTGTAGTTGATGACACTGCAGTACTTGTTGCTGGTGTTGGTCTTGAATAAGCGTGAATAAAAGTTCGTTCATGCAATGATAAATAGTTGTCCAATACAGTAGCAATGATTGGTAATATTCCAGCCTTCACTACTTTTTGTCGTATTTGCTCTGTGCCCCTTGTGCCAATTAGTACAAGACATTGGAATGCTAATGTCCATTTCCAAGCTATCAAAAGCTTCTTTTCTTGATTATCTAATAAGGAATCTTGATTTAAGTTTGCTTGATGACATTCATGCAAGATTTCTATCAAACGTTCAATTCCACCATCAATCGATAATGTTTCTCTCACTTTTGCCAGCGAACTAACTAGATAAGTTAAAAAATTCAATGAATTAACCAAAGGTTTATCAGAAGTGACATCTAATGCTCGTCTGTCATATAAGCTGGTGGTGATGGTGACCGCCGCCTTGTTGCCTGAAATTGCCCTATAGTTGGAATCACGCATTTAAGAAATATTTGTAATGAATTGTTTTGTGCTTGGAGGGGAGGAGGAGGAAAAGGAGAAGAAGATGGTGATCCTGCCTTTTTACCTATACTTTCAATATCTGCTACTTCTATCAGCCGTGCAGTAATAACTAAAGAATCCTTCTTTTTTCTTTCAGATAAGTAAATGATAGAGCAAAGAAATCCCGGTAATTTAGTTATGGGGAAAAGGGAGCAAATAAGGGAAAATCAAATTCTTTTTATTGAAAACTTTATTGACCTTTTTTTTTTCTTTCTTTCTTCCTGTCTTTCGCTCTCTCTCTCTCTCTCTCTCTCTTTCAGTTTCGCCTTGAATGTACTGAGGAAAAGAGACAATTAATCAACAAGAGTGGAAAAACAAAAAGAGAGAGAGGAAAAAAAAATCGCCACTATAATATGCGGATATACAGTATACAGGAAATTCGCGTAACCAGTGCAACACGCAATAATGCAAAATCAAAAATTATATAATCTCTATTACTTATCTAAACCAAACCTCTATGAATTAAAATATATGTATATACTGTAATAAATAAATAATACTAGTTTATTTTAAATATCCCAATTTCTTTTCTATTTTCACCATTCCTTTCAAACACTGTTCCATGAACAATAATGTCAAAATTGTGTGTGGACCAATTCTAAATAATTGTGCCCAGAAACCTTTATATAATGCCATTGGTCCTTCTGTGGAAATAGTTTTCTTGAAACAATCAAGTGGCCCATTATACAAATCACCTTTTTGATTGTACATTCTGGTCAAAACAACATCCCAAGGGTTCATTACAATTGCCACACCTAAACCAGCCATGATTGAAGAAATAAAATTCAAAGTGAAAGTGTTTTCTTTAGCCAAATTGTGTTTCAACAAGAATGACTTGGTCAAGTAATAAGTCGGCAACTGAGCAGCTGATCCAGCACCTGTTCTAAGAATGGCAGCATCAACACCTCGATATAGACCTTTAAAACCTTCGCTGTGGAAGATCTTGGAAATACCATCCCATGTATTCTTGTAGTAAGTTTGTTCTCCAACAGCAGCACCTCCTGTGTGTGATTTACTGTATGATTGCATTCTGGTCTTGATCAAGAATAATGGAGAAGCTAACACTGCACCAGCAGCACCACTGACAAACCCAGCAGCAACATTTACCATTAGATTTGGTTTAGTGATATGTCCGTCATCGGAGATGGTCGATGGTGCAACAACTTTTGTAATGTAATATCTACTTGGTTCATAAAATCCAAGTCTGCAACCATTCAAACCAATTTGATAGTAGTATCCACTGACCAATCCTTGTTGCAATCCTCTTATACCTTCATTCTTGTAAATAACTCCAAACGCTTGAATTGGATTTTTGTATAACATAACAGCGTCTTTCGATGTTTTTGCCAACTCACCTTGTAATTGCATTCTGGTCTTGATCAATTCAATAGGGTTGGTAAATGTGACAGCCATACAAGCTGCAACACCACCAGCAATGAATCCACCCAACGTGGATACTTTTTGAGCATTGTTCTTCGCAACTGGGACATGAGCTGGCTGTTTCTTATGGTCAACTGGATGTGGTGCTCCAACAGCTACTTTTATTATAGGTTCTTTCTCCGTCAGACTCATGGTTCAATATTTGATAAGGAAAGTAAATATGGTTAATCAAAGACCAGACCAAAAAGAAAAAGTTGAAAAATAAGTAAAAAAAAAAAAAATCGAAATCTCCAATCGCAAATTATTTCATGCAAAGTATCTGAAAAAAAAAAAGATTAAAAAATTTTTCAGGGCCGATTTCGCTCACAGAACAATCAAATGGTCGTGCATGACTCATAATATTTTTTAATCACGTGTGCTTACATAATTATTCAGAACTACATACGGTATGGCTGATTTACAATTAAATTATTCTAGCCAAAAAAAAAAAAACAATTCTCACGTAATTATCCAACACTCTATTCATACAAATGATTATCACCATTTGATAGTTCTAGTTTTTTAATTAGGATTTGTAATTCCTTTTTTCCTTTTAACAGTGAGAACTTTTTTTTTCTTCCAATATTGTTCTCTCTCGGAATTAATTTTCTATTGCCATCTTTTTTTTTCAGCATTGAATTTGTAAAAGAACCAAGAGATTATATTGTTCTCTTTGCAACTTTGACACTCCTACCTCCAGAATGTTAAGTGCAAAATTAAAACAAAGTCTGAGAGTGCAACGTGTGATTAGAAGATATGGCTCCACCGAGTCATTATCTTCAACTCTCAGAAGATACCCTATTGGGCTTCAGATGCACGGTTATGAAATCATGAAAACCACTCCAATACCAGAATTTTCATTAGTTGCAGTATCTTTGAAGCATATCAACAGTGGATCAAATCATTTACATTTGGATTCTGCCAATGATAGTAATAATGTGTTTCTGATTGCATTCAAGACTAATCCGCCGGATAATACTGGGGTTCCTCATATTTTGGAACATACAACATTATGTGGGAGTACCAAATATCCAGTTCGTGATCCTTTCTTCAAAATGACAAATCGTTCTTTAAGTAACTTTATGAATGCAATGACTGGTCATGATTATACTTTTTATCCATTTGCAACTACAAATGCTAAGGATTTTGAAAACTTAATGGATGTGTATTTGTCATCTGTATTTGAACCAAATTTGAATTATACTGATTTTTTACAGGAAGGTTGGAGATTAGAAAATCAAGATGTTAATGATATCAATTCAAAACTTGAGTTTAAAGGGGTTGTTTACAATGAAATGAAAGGTCAATATTCCAATTCTGCTTACTATTTCTACATAAAGTATTTGGAATCGATTTATCCTTCGTTGAATAACTCTGGTGGAGATCCAAAAAGAATTGTTAATCTACCATACGAAGATTTGGTCCAATTTCATTCAAAGAACTACCATCCATCTAACTCCAAAACTTTTACATACGGTAACTTGCCTTTAGAAAACCATTTGAGAAGATTGAACGATTACTACAAGTCCTTTGGAAAACGTAAACCATCATTAGATGTCAAGAAACCTATTTTTGCGACGGATGATTCTTCTTGTTTTGATGTGATACTCCCTGGTCCAATTGATACTATGAGCGGGAAGGATATTTCCGACCAATACAGTTCTTCAGTTACTTGGGCATTAGGCAACCCGTTAGAACCAGAAATGCAATACGAAGTTTTCAAATGGAAGATTTTGAATTCTTTATTGTTTGATGGTCACAGTTCTCCATTTTACCAAGAATTGATTGAAAGTGGTTATGGTGATGATTTCTCCGCCAATACTGGATTAGACACAACCAGTGCATTACTATCCTTCACTGTGGGTCTCAATTTCTTGAACAAAGCCAAAGTTGACAACTTGCAAAACAAAATTATCGAAATTGTGAAAAATAAAATTTTACCTGAGTTGGAGAATGACAAAGCATCAAGTTATAATGATAGAATCAAAGCTATTTTACATCAAATTGAATTAGGATTCAAAAGACACAAACCAGAGTTTGGATTTGGCTTATTGAGTTCAATTGTACCATCATGGATTAACGGAGTAGATCCTGTTGAATCTTTACAAGTTGAACAGATTTTGACTCAATTCAAAGAAGATTTTGCTAAGAATGGTGTGAGTATTTTCAAAGAGTTATTAGAAAAATCATTGTGTAACCCAGAAACTCAAATATTCAGATTCACCATGGAACCAGTGGCTGATTTCACCAAACAATTAGCTGATGATGAAAATAACAGATTGGAAAAGAGAGTCAGCGAATTATCTGAAGAAGATAAGAACATCATTTATGAAAGAAATTTAAATTTGGCAAAATTACAATCAGAGGAAGAAAATACTGATGTCTTGCCAACTTTGACTATTGATGATATTCCAAAGAGAGGTGACTTTTATGCTATTGACTTAGGCGAAGCTAATAAGAAAGTAGTACACGAAAGAGTAGTTGATACCAATGGGTTGATTTATGCATTTGCCTTGAAAGATATTTCCCATTTACCAACCAAGTATTACAAGTATCTTCCTTTGTTTAACAGTTGTTTAACCAATCTTGCTGGTACCGAAACAACAGCAATCACTGAGCTTGAAACTAAAATACAAATGTTGACTGGTAGCTTGTCATTCAATTCTAAAGTTTCAACTGATCCATACAACATCCAAAATCTGAAATTACAATATACCTTGAGTGGTATGGCATTGAAGGAAAATGCTGCTTCAATTTATGAATTGTGGTACGAAATTTTAACATCCACTAAATTGGATTCATCTGATGAAGTTTTAGAAAAATTGGCAACTTTAATTAGAAATATGGGACAGAATCAACTCAACAGTATAGCTGATCGTGGTCATTCTTATGCTTCTGCTGTTAGTAATCTGAAATTAACACCACTGAAATATATTAGTGATATAACTTCCGGTATAACTCAAGTGCAATTTGTCATGGAATTGAATTCAAAATTGGAAAGTGGTGGAAAGGATTACTTGTCTAAAGAAATAATCCCTGTTTTGCAAGAAATTAGGAAATTTGTCTTAGAAGGTGAGTTTAGATATAGACTCGTTGGTGATAGAACAATAATTGATGAAAACGAGAAGTTGATATCCAAGTTTGATGAAAAGATAACTCATGGTGATGTCTCAACTACAACTGATAGTTTATCTCAATTGTTACAATCATTCAATAACAATCATCCTAGTGATAACGTGTTGGTTAATTTACCATTCCAAGTTGGTTACTCTTCTTTGGGTAAGCTTGGTGCATCCTATTCTTCTAAAGAAGGTGCTGCTTTACAGATATTGTCACAATTATATACTTTCAAAAATTTACATTCCAAGATTAGAGAAAGTAATGGTGCTTATGGTGGTGGTTTGACCTATGATGGATTAGGAGGAACATTAAATTTCTATTCTTATCGTGATCCAAATCCAATTAAATCAATTCAAACATTCAAAGACACTTTCGATTATGGATTGAATGCCAATTGGAATGAAAAGGATTTACAAGAAGCCAAATTGAGAATATTCCAAAGTGTTGATGCACCAATAAATATTGCTTCACAAGGTGCTACTGCATTCTTTGAAAATATTGATGATTATTTAAGACAAGAGAGAAGAGAAAATTTCTTGAATACGTCCATCAAAGATTTAGAAGCCGTTACGGAAAAATACCTTGTGGGTAATAAGAATAATTTATCTACAGTTATTGGTGATAATGAAATCTTGAAAGTTGGCGATGACTGGAAAATTAAAAACATGCAAGTTTAGCTTTTATAGTTGTAATAACCCATTCTTCATTGTATATAGACTCCTAGAAAATAATAAATTATTTATATGTATTATCGTTAACAATTCTATTTACAAAGTTTTTGATATATGTAGATATGTATATATATATATGTGGATACCTCTTTTGTTTTCGTTTCTAACGATGACTTCTGGTGAAATCTTTCTTTGGTCTTTCTGCGATTTTTCTTTTTCTATCTTCTTTGAAAAGACAATGTCTTTGAGCTCTTGGATCATATAATATAAGATTTAATTTTGGCGAACTTCTAGGAATTCTGAACCATTTTTCATATCCAGTTAATGCAGTTGAAACCAACTTTATCATGGTAGTATTTGCTCTTCCTTTAGCCATCTTGGAATATGTTTATTTTATGGTATGAGTTTGAGTTTGGGTTTGGATGATTGGTTTGATCGTTTGAAGGAAGAAATTTTCATATTGGAAACAGAAAAAAAAATTCTTCTAAAGAGGATTGGCAAAGAACAAACAGAAAAAAAAAATGTTAGAAAATCCAGATTTCCTAAACAGGTAATATATTCATGGCTTGATGAGTATCACTTGAGGGAACTCTCGCGTCGGTTTTTAGTTTGTTTTTTTTAGTTTTAGTTTTACCCTTTTTACAAGGAACACGCAAATATTTTTTTAAAGAACGAAACAACAAAGAAAAAAAAAAAATTTTGTTTGTCGATCCAAAGTTTTTCATTTCTTTTATTCATTATTTATTGTTGTTGTTGAAATATAACACATTTATTAAGACCGACAAGATGCAATCCTTTATTACATACTTTGCCTTGGTGATAACCCTATTGGTCAATTCCATCCATGCTTTACATTTAGAAATCCCATCTTTACCAACCCCAAGTCCAATTTGTATTCGTGATTTTGTTCAAGAAAATCAAATGGTTGTTATAAATATTAAGACTGATGGTTCTAGGGGAGATGGTCAAAGATTAGAATTAAAAGTTAGTGATCTGATTGGTAATGAATATAGAAACACTAAAGATGTTGTTGGACATGCAAAAGTTGCTTTTACTTCCCATCATAATGCTGCTTTTGATATTTGTTTAACTAATTATCAAGAAAATAAATGGCAACAACATCAACAAACTTTTAGATCTGTTGAATTGGACATTGAAAGTGGTGCAGCTGCTAGAGACTGGAATGCTTTACAAGCTAGTGAAAAATTGAAGCCTGTTGAAGTTGACTTGAAAAGAATTGAAGGATTGACTGCTGAAATTGTCGAACAATTACAATATTTGAAAACTAGAGAAGAAAGAATGAGAGATACTAATGAATCTACAAACTCAAGAGTTAAATGGTTTTCTATTATTATTATATTATCCTTGGTTGGTTTTGGTGTTTGGCAAATACAATACTTGAGAAACTATTTCAAGGTTAAACATATTATCTAGGTGTTAGTTCAACAATGTATTTGATATAATGGATGTGAATTTCTCCCAGGATCGAGGTTCAGATTCCAATTTGTTAGCTTCCGTTATAGTTAATTTAAAAGGTAAATCATTACTACCATCTTTACAATTTTTGATAAATTGCATGTACACTTGCTCTCTTAAGATATCCATTTGCTTACATGCTGATTGTAAGAATTCTTTTTTAATCAAAGTATCATAGCCTACCTCTGTAACGTCTCTTAATGCAAATGAGAATACCCATCCGAGAACAAAATTGTATTTCTTCCATAGTTCCTTGAAATGAGCAAACGATTGATAAGTCTCGTCTTCAATGAATGACAAGTACAATTCTCTATCTTTCATCCAATCTAGAACTAACTTAAAATTGGAGGACCTCCAATCTGGGTGTTTCTTATCATCACGAGGATAGAGCTTGAAACTCCATTGTCTACTTCCAGTCAAATTATGCAACAATTTACTTGACAAATTCACCAACAAAATATCTCGATAATTCAAAGGAATACTTGATTCCATCAACAGGGAATAGTAAAATTCAACCCAATAGTCGTATTCAATAACCATGAACTTCTTGGCCACTTCGTCTATCAAAACGGCAGGCTCTAGAAAATTTGTATTCAGTCTTTCAGATCTAGTGATTCCATCCCGAGTGACTTTATCAAATGCCAAACTCCAGTAATGAACTGTATTGATAATTTTAAATCTCAATTTCATTGAATCAATATTATCATTGTAGTATGCAAACTTTTCAGTTTCTGCTTTATATTTGTTGAAAGATTTTTTGAGTAATATTCTTTCGTGTTCATAACAAGTGGTGGGTATTCGCAATTGTGATTCTGTTTTTGATGACAGTGGTGATTCTTTACATACTAGACCATTGAACACATACTCAGCAATTCTATCATACCAATTATTTCTTAAATACCCCAATTGCTTCAATAAATTCAGTAAGAACAATGTACTATTTTGTGATATCTGATCCATAGCAAGCATTCTTCTTGTTAAAGATTGCTTAAATAACCACTTATAAGGATCGTCTTTACCATCGGGGAACATTTTGCTGAATTCTTTAACCAAATTGATTTCAATGATGCTGAATATTTTATCTATGGTTGCAGCCTGTGCAGTATAAATCATGTGACAACTTTCATAGGTAGAATCAAACACAATATTTCGTCGTCCAGCACAATAAAACGTAAAATTTATCAAGCGCCATAGATCAAAATCATTCAATCTAGGACTCAACCTATTACTCAACAAGGATTCGTCATAAACTTTTATTCCTTGCCATTTCGGTTTGGGAACTGGAGAATCATCACGATTAAACAAAACCGAAGGATTATTCACACCCGATTGATTTGTACCATCATTAAAGTTGTACTTGTTTTCTACTGGCATATTTTGATACTTGTTAATTTCTTGTTCCATAAGGAAATCATCACGATGAGTAGTACCACCACTTTCGTCATCATCATCCTCTGAATCTCCAACTTCATCTAAATCTGCATTATCTGAATCATCGATATCTGATTGAGTTACACATTCAGAAGAAGTCATTCTTTTCTTGGGAGATTGTCTCATAATGACTAGAACATCTTCATATTTTTGAGGCATTTTGGTTCTATTTCTTCTACCTGACAGTTCCATGAAATCATTCATAAAGCTAGTTAGGTTCTTATATAACTTCTCATTAGGTAATTCTTGAATATATTTGTCAATAAGTTTAATACTTCGATCACAAAGATTTCCTTTCCCATTCGAGTCTTCATAAAATGAACTTTTAGGTTTGATTCGTTGACGCGAAGTTGGTATATCATCCAGTAAGTTATTAGATACCGTCCAATTACTATCGGGACTTCGAGATGCTAATGTAAATAAAATTCTAATAATATTTGTTGAAGGGATGGGTAATGCCTCACGGTTGTAGAATGACAATTCCAAGTGAGTAATAAGTCTATCAAACTCACTGGAACTATTCAAATTGATTCCATCTTCGCTGATTTCAGGGATTAAACTGTCAATTAACGTTGTCTGAAACCCTGGATATGAAGATTTCTTAGTTTCTTTCCCGGTATCCATTTTTAATACTGTGTCCAGAAATCTGTTGAAAAAAATAGTACTATTGTTCTGATAACTGGTAATCTAAAAGGATAAAGCAGCACTATTGATATTGGTTATTTTTTTTTTCTCGTTTTTTCGTTTTCTTGTTCATCGAGACGTGTAATCAGCGTATCACACTAGTCAATGTCATTAACAGTATGTATACAGAGATATCCCAAGAAGTAAGTTTTATAAAAGTAAGAATACTAACTCGTATACTAGTTTTATACAAAAACAGGAAACATTAAAATAGAATTGTATTCTACCGATGAGCCAGTAATTCTTGAAAATTTTCTAAGGCATTGTGCTAAGGGAAGTTACAATAATATCAAAGTTTTACGATTCATTCCCAATTTTATTTTACAAACTGGATCATCTATAAATAAAAGTAAAGATAACAAACCTGCAGACCCAAATAATAAACCAACTGGAATATCACATGGTAAATTTCTTGAACATCGAAAAATCAAAAAAGGAACGTTGTTTACAATCAATAATCCAGACCAAGCAGATAGATGTGGTTGTCAGTTTTTCTTCTTATTGTCAGAAGATCATTTGGATTCATTGGGTAATGGTGATTACACTGCCATAGGTGAGATCATTGACGGATTTGAATCAATTGAGAAATTAGCATCAGAAATTACCACAGTCAGCCATCCTTCCGGTAAACCTACAGGTAAATGGAAACAGAGTAATTGGTTAGAATCTATCGAGATACATAATAATCCATTAGTTTAATTCGCCTATATTCCCTAAAACTGCAGCAAAATCTTTTATGGTTACACAAGCTCCGTGTTTGTCAAAGTCAAAATTCAATAAATACCCGTCTCGATCAGTGGAACAACAGCCTAACATATCAATTAGGAATGAGTCACTAAGAGGAGTTTTCGTAGCTGGGTCTGCATCTAGGTTGAGGTTGGTTTTAATTTGTTTAAGATCTGGAAATGTCAATTGGTATGATTCAAGTGATGAGGTTGTCATTGTTGGTTTGCCATTATTGGCACTGGTGACAAATAATTTCCAACTAGCTAGTATGTGTTTGTAATTATTTCTGAATTTAATTAATCGATTCAAGTTTCGTAACAACTTATCAATGTCGATAATATCTATTATACTTCCGATGTCCTTTATATTCGATGAAGATATAGTATACGCATGTATCATGTTTATAGTATTACTTTGTCTTTTATTCATCGGATCTATTTGAACATTCTTATCCTTTATAAATCCATAATAATAGTCAACACAATGTATAATATCTTTGGAAAAACAATTTGGGATCCTTAAAGTTTGGAAAATTTGGGGTAGTTGATTTAAATAAAGATCTTGTTCTTCATCATCGACCAAGTCTGAATAAATTTCTAAAATCTCATCTTCTATCTCAGGTAATAATTCTTCAAATTGATCAGATGGAGTAAAACTCGTCTTTTTCTTTGGAGGAGCCATGATTGATAAAATAGAAACTGGGGATCAACTGAATGAAGTAATAGAAAATAATTCGGAGAGAAATGAAATTTTACAATTGGAGATATAATCCGCGCGTTCATTCATTTCATCCGTATTTTTCCCCTCTCTTTATAAAAGAGTAACAAATTTCCGATCGCTATTTTTTTAATGTTTCTTTTTATTTCTTCTACTAATTAGTTAATACCGAGATATCTTAATCTTACCAGATTCAAAATCTAGACATGAAAGAACCTTCTATTAAGACAACATTTGTTGAAGTAACAAATAAACTCCCTACAAAACCACCATGTCGTGTATTTTTCAAAAATGAGTTTGAGCAACCATCGGGTAGTTTTAAGTTGCGAGGAATGGGTCATTTAGTGGCAGTTTCTATTGAAAATGCCAAAAAACTCGGCAAACAAAATGTTGAAATATTTTCATCTTCTGGAGGAAATGCTGGATTAGCAGCTGCTTATGCTAGTAAGTATTTTGGTTTGAAATGTACCGTTGTTTTACCTGAGTCATCGAAACCTACAGTTATTGAAAAGTTAAAAAGTTTAGGTGCGAAGGTTATTGTGCATGGCAAACACTGGGGTGAAGCCGATAGCTATTTAACGGATGTTGTGATCCAACAAGTACATCATTCAGTGTACCCTGTTTATTGTCACCCTTTTGAAGATCCATTATTATGGGAGGGTCATAGTAAGATGATTACAGAAATCCTTGAAGAGAAACAATTGCCCAATTTTGATAAAGTAAAAGGTGTAATTTGTTCAGTTGGAGGGGGTGGCTTGTATAATGGTGTTGTTGAAGGTTTAAAGTACTATAAAAATATTCCTGTATTAGCTATTGAGACCAAACAAGCGCCTACTTTTCATGCTGCCGTTAAAGAAGGTCAAGTGGTGCATTTAGAAGAAGTTAAAACTTTAGCAACTTCATTGGCTTCACCTTATATTTCATCAAAAGCATTGACCAATTATACTGACCATAAAACATTTCTTGCAGAAATTGATGATTTAGATGCAATTAGAGGAACAATTGATTTGTACGATAATTTCGGATATTTGGTCGAACCTGCATGTGGAGCATCAGTGACACCAGTGTTTCATCGACAAGATTTATTGAAGAACTATTTTGGTGACGAGGAGTTAAAGCCAGATGATATTATAATCGTTATCGTTTGTGGTGGATCTGGGATAAACAATGAAATTATTTCCAATTATAGAAGTTTATTAGAATAGAACAATTTTAGTCCCGATAAATGTGTGTATGTGTGTGTCTCTCACACACACATTGTGTGTCGCATTATCTATCATTGATTATGTGTGTACATCGGTTCGATTGTTATCACATTCACTTTTTTTTTAGTTCTTTCTTTCCCACTCTCTCGCCTTCAAAATTCAATTGTTGTATTGTAACGCAAACTAATAATACCCCAACAAAAAATTATTTTCAAAATTCACATTTCATTCTTTTTATGATTATATTCTCTATTCTTGATCATTTAGTATTAATATCCATCTACAACCATCCCTCGCACTGTCAAAGTTTGATTTGAAATTAGACTAATGTCGGATAATACAGGTTTTTGGAGCTATTTTTGGAGTTCCAATAATAACAATAATAATAATAATAACATTCCCGGGACGGTAGTATCACAAGCAACAGTAACAAACAACGATAGAGTTGATACACAAGAAACAGATGAATTGATTTCAGATGCTCCAAGTGTCCCAATGAAACGAAAGTCGGTACAAACAAATACTGCACGGCTGGTTGTATTACGACATAAACCTTCTACCACATCACTAGCATCGTTAACAGCTGGGAAATGGCTTGGTTGGAATTCAAGAAAGGATACAGCCCAACTAGCCGAAGAAGAAGATGAAGTAAATAATGAAAACCAACAACGAGATTCTAACGAAGAATATTTAGAAGATGAAGAGTTACAAAATGATGACACTATCCCCGATGATAATGGTGACGAAGTGGATGATCATGTAAGTAAAAAGAAATCAACCAGTTGGGCTTTCTGGTCAAACAATAGTAATAGCAATAGTAATAATAATCTAGAACAACCCACACTGTCGTCACCACCACCCTCGTTACCATTACCACTGCAAGACAATAAGTCAGATAAAAATATTGTTGATTCAGCAAATGATACTACAAAGAATAAAATTGGTCATGTTGCAAATACAATTGTAAATTCTACAGCATTGCTTCCTTCAAAACTGGAGCTATCCAATAAAAGTACTGACCCATCACAAGAAAACAATGATGCGGATGATGCAGTGTTGTATAAGCCACATGATAAAACTGCACAGTTCAACCAAATCAATACCCATAAAAATGAAAACTTGAAGGAGAATATCATTGTTCCTGATTGGAAAACTTGTTTACCTCATGCATCAACGGGTATTATTTTCAATTCGTCTACAACATCCAATCAAGGTAACTCGAATCAAACCATACGAACAGATCTTAAAAACTGGAAACAATTTTTAAATCAAATATCTACAAAATTTGGATTTTCAACCGGCCCAGTTATTCCTGAACCAGAGATACCGCCACCACAACATGATTCTAATAGTGATCGCAGCGTGGAAAGGGATGTGGGTTTATTATACGAAAAGTCATATAAACTATATGGAAAGTCACTAGCCATCTTGCCTGAAGATAAACGAGGTTGTCTACCAAACTACAACAAATATTACCACAGCATAGACGGCACACCATTTTCCTCTGCTGTTGTTGCTTCTGGCTCCTCCTCTCCATCTCAATTAGAAGATGATTCGGCTGACCCGAATTCCATAAGTATAACAAATGATGCCATGGGGAACTTGTTGATAAATGACTCTAAACGTCGTGCACTTCATACGGCGCCAAATGCAGAAGTGGTCAATCATAAAGCAGGTCCTTTAAAGAAAATTAAAAATATATTGATCATTGGAGTCCATGGTTTCTTCCCAACAAGGATGATCCGTCCTATTATTGGTGCACCAAAGGGTACTTCATTAAAATTTGCCAATGAAGCGGAGAAAGCCATAATTCGTTACTGTTTGGAAAACGATCTTATAAATGAATACGAGTCAAAGGTTAGTATTCAAAAGATTGCTTTGGAAAGAGAAGGAAAGATTTTTGATAGAGTTGAGTTCTTCACCGAGATTTTACAAAAATGGGAAAACGAATTAAACAATGCAGATTTTATCTTTGTCGCCTCGCATTCCCAAGGTTGTGTTGTTTCCATAATATTGTTGGCTAGGTTAATCAAATTGGGAATTTTGAAAGATCCAATGCACAAACGAATTGGTATCTTGGGAATGGCAGGGGTCAACAATGGCCCCTTTTATGGTGTTGATAAGTCGTTCTTCATGAAAGCATATTCCGCCATTGAACATGAATCTATGAATGAATTATTTGAACTTAACAAGTTTGATAGTCAGCAGTCACTTGCTTACAAGGACTCTATTCAAACCATTATAAATGTCAATGTCAAGATCTGTTTGATTGCCTCGATTAATGATCAATTGGTTCCCTTATTTTCAGCATTGGCATCGCATATTTTCCATCCAAATATCTATCGTGCGTGTTATATTGATTCTACATCTCAGACTCCAAAGTTTGTTGAGAAGTTAGTTTCATTATGTACTCATTTAATTAATGTCGGATTTTTCGATAACAACGTAATCAAGGAGTTAAGTACATCATTAGCGGGTTCTTTCACCGGGAATGGACATTCGAAGATTTACAATGATGGTAAAGTTTATGATTTGGGGATCAAGTTTGTCTTGGACACCGATGACATTGTTATTCCTTCAGAAAATGGAGAGGTTTCAGGTGATTCTAGAGCCAGTGAACTACCAGTATCAAACCAAGTCTACACCAAGGAGTTTAATATTGCTAAAATTGGTACCAATCCATACATTTTACCATGGTGCTTAAGAGGATTCTTGTTTAATGTCGAGAAGAATTGGCCAAATCGAGATGTGACTCGTTATGAAAATGAATACGGTTTGAAGAATGGATATGAAGAGATTCATGAACTTTATGAAACTTTTGAAAATTGGAAACCCGAAACAAAGGTTTACAAAGATCTTAAATTCAGATTAAATGGATTTCGAGCCAGCAAGTTATGACTTGATTCGAGTGTAGATGTTTATAGTTGTTGAATAAAATAGATCACAAAGTGTTAAATGCAAGACACGCGAATGAAAAAAAAAATAAGGCATAAAATAATAATAAGCACTACAATTGTGCACGTGATATCTACAACAACTGTTGAATTGGAGTGAATTTCATCAATATCCAATGGTTATTATAAATAGTACAGAAAATTTGTATTGAAGTAGATCAAGTCTTGAAGGATATCGAGAGATGAAGCTACCAACTCTATATCAAATATGATCCTCTGATCGATGGATCGATGCCAGTAAAACACGTTGAAAAATTACTTCGCGTTTTGTTGTTTACGTTCACTTTTGTGGCACCCTACGGATTTCTTTCTTTTGGTTGAAATTGAATTAAAAAAAAAAAAAAATAAAAAAAAATTGGGGCGTGAAAATTCCGTGGGTCAAAAGTTAAACAAAATATAAACAAATCATCAGTCACTTTATTTCTACTTCTTTTGTTTTTAGTTTTATATTGATTATAAATACAAACATCATTACAATTTACAAAAATATTCAATTGATCACCATCCCTTGTTCCACCCCATTGGTTGTTTATTTTATTTGATAACTTTTTTTTTAATTGTTGTGTTTGGCTCTAAGTTTACATTATGGTTCTGCTAGGTTCAATATTTTCACTGGTAAGATCCCTTACAAGTGAACCAATGGTATCCCCACCTGCAGACAAAGTGATGGAAGAAAAGCAATTAAATATTCAAGACGAGAAGGAGTCAGATATACCAACGGTTGATTCAAATGTACATCTTCAAACCCCAGACATGTCAGATCAATCCTGTGATGAAGCCAAGTTGAATTCAGAACCTGATGAAGCATCAACTACTTGGACTAAAGATTTGGAAAACGAATTAAAACAATTGGCAGGTCAATCTATTACTTTCAGTAAAGTATTGACACATTTCCCTGGATTTGATTGGAAAGATATTGGAGAAAAGATACTAAAAACGAAAATAAACAACAGTTTATGGAAAAGAAAATTAGTGTGTTACGATCAACTATTCAAGCATGAGAAAGCATTTGTGATCCGTGCACATTCAGGAATTTTATCCAGAATCGATGATAAGAAACTCAAATCTTGGAAGAATCATGAAATTGAACAGCTTTTGTGCAATTTATATGAAGATCTCACTACCGATGGAGTTAAAGCTTCATTAACCAACAAGTCTCTTAAACAGGTGGCTGAAGCTATTCATGTAGTTGCACATGTAGTATCATGGACACCAAAAGAATTACAGTTTTTAATGGATAATTTTGAAGATCAAGAGAACCTTAAAAAAGGTTTATTTTTCAGAAGTTCTGATAGTATCTACAACAAATTGCGTTTGACAAATCAGCTTAGCACTACTGCTAAATCATCAGGTAAATCTAAACATGAAGATGCATTAAATAAAATTTCCACATTGCCCATAAGTTTCTCCAAAGTAATGGAACAGTTCCCTGCCGGTGATTGGAAAGATATTGCCACAACATTATACAAGTTGACTGCTGATAATGAAAGCTCCAATTGGTCGCAGAAGATTGGTTGTTACTGTCTCGTAAACCATTTTGACCAATTCGCACGAGAAGAAATTGACGATGAATTTTTGACTTCCATTGGATATACAAAAAATGAGTTTAAGAAATTTAGGAATAACTTATGTAAAGCACTTGCTTTGCCAGAATTCAAAAAGTGGTCTACCAAGGAGTTTGAAGATTTTTATTCTTTGTCTTTCCATGATCTTACTAGAGATACATTACGTCAAAAATTCCCGAAAAAAAATTTAACTGATATGAAAAAATTTGTTTCTGTGTTTGATTCGCAAAGGAACAACTTTAATTCTGGAGAAATTACTTACCTTGAACAAAATTCAGATGCAAAAATTTCAGAATTAATGTTACACCTTCCTTGTCGTTCTAAGAAAAGTATTTATAAAGCATTGGATGATCTTAATAACCCCGAATCAGAAGAAAACCCAGTTTTATTACAACTACTCCAGCATGATCTTACAATAGATACCATCAAAGAAAATTTTCCCGATGAGGACATTGAATCAATCATAAATGATATCAAAAATCACCCGGAATTTGACAAGGATATGTTTACCAAAGGTGAAAAGGAGCTTATGAATTCTTTTGTACATGCAAACAAGAATGTTGAAGAGTGTTTGAAACATTTCCCTGTTCGTGATGAAAAATCTATTCGTCGTTTGCATAATGAAAGTCAGTATCTTTCTGGAAGAAAAGTGAAATTTGAATCGCCGGAAGAAAGATTGGCATATGAAGCAAAATGGACTCTAATAGCAACAGGAAGTTCCAATAGTAGTCGTTCGAAAAGGGCATTAAAAAGATCTGCTGACTTTGAAGAGTTTACGAAATTAGAACAAGAAGTTGCAGTCAAGCATATAAAAAAACCAAAACCAGAGTTAACTGAAGAAGAGTTGGCACTTAGAAGGGAAAAACAAGAGAAAGCACGACTTGCTAGGGAGAGAAAGAAAGAAGAAAGACGTAAACTTATTGAACTTCGAAAGCTGGAAAAGAAACCCAAACCAAAGAAACAAACAACTTCAAATGAATTGAAAGACTTACTTACGGGTGCTGAATATTTTCAATCAACAGTCGGCGATAGAAAACAAGTTCAAGAAGGAGAAAAGCGTAAGAGAGTCCAGCCAGAACATTACGAACCTGAAATTCGTCATTCTAATAATCCAGTTAAGTTAAAAACTACAAATAGACAAGCAGAAAAGATCAGGATCAAAAAAGAGCTACAAAGAAAAGCACGAGCTGAAAAGGAAAAGGAGTTGGCCATTAAATCTAAAAACCAGATCAAACAATTGAATTCAAAACGTAAGAAACAACAACTGCAAAAGAGATCAAAATCGAAAATCCCAGATGATGATGAAATTATTGCTGAAATTAAAAGAATATATAATATGGAAGCAGAACAGCAGCAATTAGATGATTCTGAAGAGGAAGAAGAATTTATTAGTCCGTATGATCCTCCTGATATTACATCTGATTCCTTTGTTAAGTTAAATGGTCGTCAATTGTATGTTTCTGATTTTTATTCTGAAGAACCATCTATTCCACAACTTGAATTTGTTCATATGGAACAAAATGATGAAAACAATGAAGATTCAAAGGTTAAAACCATGTCACCTGGAAAGTCGATAATGACAGCTGCTGATGATAAAATCTTGTACGAAGATAATTTGGCCCTTGAGATTGTTACCACACACATGAGATCGTATCGAGACATGCCAATTTCCTTCCCACCGATCCTTGATCCTGTAACAAAAGAAATCAATCCTTTAAATATCATTAAAATAAGGTTTTTGTTATATCCGGAACACACGGAACTGTTTATACTTGCATCACCAAAATCGAATGAATTGGATCCTGTTCAAGAAATTGCCAAGTTATTCATGATACAATGTTCGTTATATTTCTCCCATTCAGAAGTCTTGAAGAATATCATAATGGAAGATTATTGTAAAAAGCTTGAAAATTCCATTGAAGAGAACGATTTTGGTGAGTTTATGGCTGTTATTGATAAATGGAATCAATTGGTTTTGAATCTTTCCCCAAATACAAGCTCGAGTCAAAAAATCTTGGAATCCGGTGAAGATATTAACTCCGCTCCTCGATACTACTTGAATGAAGAAGAAGTGAAAACACCAACTGTTGCAGATTTGAAATTGGATACTTTTTATGAAGAAATCATGTATGAATCAGCTAGTCCTTCCTTCCAGCCAATTGAAATCAAATTTGGAGATGATATTACTGTCCCTGATACCAATAATGAAGTATCGTATGATAATGTTGATATTCCAACAAATATTTCCCAGGTATCTAGAATTATTAAACCAGAAGGTTATAATACTGATTTTTTCAAAAGACTTCAGGAAAAGACCGATGTTTCTAGATATACTATTCAACAAATACTTCTTCGAATTTATTCACGTGTTGTTTCTACAGATTCTAGGAAATTACGTTCTTATAAAGCATTTACTGCTGAAGTTTATGGTGAATTACTTCCTTCATTTACTAGTGAAGTATTAGAAAAAGTTAATTTATTACCAGGTCAAAAATTTTATGATTTAGGTTCAGGTGTTGGTAATACCACATTCCAAGCCGCATTAGAATTTGGAGCATCACCAAGTGGAGGATGTGAAATAATGGATCATGCATCATATTTAACTACATTACAAACAGGATTAATTCAAAAACATTTATCAGTATTGGGATTACGTAAATTAGATTTGGATTTTGAACTTCATAGTAGTTTTGTTAATAATGAAAAGGTAAGACAAAGTTGTTTGGAATGTAATGTATTAATTATTAATAATTATTTATTTGATGGACCTTTAAATGCAGAAGTTGGTAGATTATTAGTTGGTTTAAAACCAGGTACGAAAATTATTAGTTTAAGAAGTTTTATAAGTCCAAGATATAGAGCTACTTTTGATACTGTTTTTGATTTTTTAAGAGTTGAAAAACATGAAATGAGTGATGTTTTATCAGTTAGTTGGACAGCTAATAAAGTTCCTTATTATATTTCAACTGTTGAAGAATCTATCTTGAAAGAATATTTAAGTAAAGAAGAAACTGCTGACATTAGTGAAAGATCTAAATCTTCTAGTCCAGTTCATGATTTCGGTGGAAACAGAAATTCAATGTTGACTCCACCTACTGATTCTTCAGAACTTGAAAATTACAAAGAATAGATTGATTTATTGATTGATTGAATGATTAAAATTGTACTTGCAATAATTTGTTAATAAGCCATTCGTGTTTGTTTGTGTATAATATATATATATCTTAAAAAAAAAGGATTAATAATACTTTGTAGTTCTATAAAAATATTGTTCGGTAATAATACTAAAAACTAACGAAAATTCAATTATCTCTTATTGTACAGGTGGGTGTTTTTCAATATCAAACTGGCTCTGTCTTGAGTTTTTTAATTGTCGGTGTTGACTCGGGTGTTTCTACGGGTTCAGCAGATCGCTTCTCCCCATTAATACTATGTTGTGGTTCTACTGAACTTAACCTTGAGCTTGTATTAGATCCAGTAAATGCCTTCCTTTTCTTTCCATGTAGTGGACCTTCCATCTCACGAGATATGGCCAATAATAATGTGCTTATTCTTCTTCCCAATTCTTGTGGGGTTCGAGATAATATGTACCAATCAAACTTGAAAATATCACTGGCTAAAATATCTTCTTTTATCTTTTCATACAAGTTTTCTGTAGATAAGCCATACTTGTGGACACAATATAACAAAAACTTATCTTCAGTCTTGGAATAAACCCTTTTAGAATTGTTTGGTGGGTATTGGATTTTCAAATCCTCCAATGGATCATCTAGATTTTCCATCTTTATGGCCAATAATCTCTGTTGATTCATCAATTTGTCTCGTTTCTTCTCCAGGGCTTCTATTTGTGCCAAATATTTCTCATAGCCATCTATTTGTTGGTAACTTTCCCAGAATTTCTTTGCATACTTTTTAATTTCTGATTTGGATTTATTTCCAAGAGCTTTGGAAATTTTTGAAAATGCATCACGTCCATACCTGGCAGTCGCATGAATGAAATTTGTAAAATCTCTTCTAGACCAAGTATGGAAACATTCTCCAAGAAGCTTTTCTTTTAATGCAATTTCTTCTTCTGTTAATGGTACAGCAGTATCAATTTTTTCTTGGGCAAGCTTCCTTTTCTCATCACGTGTCAAATCATCTTCATCTTCTTGTTCCAAGAACTCTTCGTCACTATCACCAAAATCATCAACTGAATACTGATACTTGATCTCTCGTTTATGTGCAAGTTGTTCCCTCTCAAGCAATGTCACCAACTTTTCATCGAAGAATTGGTGGTCTTGAATATTGTACAATTTTGGTGCCTTTGGCTTAATCACCGGTTGCTTCACAACCTTCTCTTTGACCTGAACTGTAGGTTTCAATACATCCTTGTAGTAATTGTCCACTGAATAAGTCAATTCTTTTCTTTGTCTCTTTGAGGGGTTGATCCATTGGAATCCAGATCCGTTGTTATCTTTTTTACCATAATCTTGTCCATTCCAGGTGTATGGCGATGCATCAGAAGTTAAATTCTGTAAATCATCAAGACCAAGTTTATTAAACTTATTGTTTAGTTCAGCTGTTTTCTCGGCCCCACGTTTCAAGATAGCATCAATATCATCATCCAACATTGTTGACTTGTTACTTTCAAAAACTTGTTTAGCACCATGTTGAATCATACCAATCAAATCGTCTTTGCTGTTACCAATGGTATTGTTTGCATTCATTTGTCTTCCTTGTTGAATAACCAATTGATCTAATCTTAATTTTTGAGCAGCCCTTTCCAACACCTTCTCTTCTATGGCCATCTCGGTAACAAATCGATAAACCTTGACTTGTTTCTTTTGACCAATTCTATGAGCTCTGTCCATGGCTTGCAAATCAGCTTGTGGATTCCAGTCAGAATCGTACAAGATAACAATATCAGCACTAGTTAAATTGATACCCAACCCACCGGCACGAGTGGTTAATAAAAAGATAAACTTTTCTGAATCTGGTGAATTATACTCATCAATTGCATCAATTCTATCTTCATGAGAAGTCGAACCATCAATACGACAATACTCATACTCTCTGAAATAACAATAATCTTCCAATATATCAAGCAATCTTGACATCTGAGAAAATATCAATACCCTACTTCCTTCTGCTTTAAATTTCTTAAGCATTTTGTCCAAAATAATCATTTTACCGGAATTAAACACCAAATGCTCATCTGTGGTATATGGTGGACCCGGTTCAGCTCCATCAAATAGGTATGGATGATTACAGCATTTTCTCAATTGCATGACAATGTTTAAAAGTCTTGTTTTACCCTCACGTTTTCCAACAACACCATTGACCGCATCGATATCTTTTTCCAACAATCTTTTGTACCAATCAACTTGCATGTCGGTCATACCGATATACACATTGGTCTCAATCTTTGGCAATAATGATTTTTCAACATCAGCTTTAACTCTACGAAGTAAAAATGGACTCAACAATTGATGTAATTCGTGGATAGCTTGGTCTTGTTTCTTTTCTTTTTCCTCTTCTGTCATGTCCTCGGTGGGTTGATTTTCGAATGCATCATCAAATTGAGCAGAATCACCAAACACATCCGGTAGAAGGAAATTCAAAAGAGCCCAAAGTTCGTGTAAGTTATTCTGCAATGGTGTACCAGTGATCAATAATCTGTTTCTGGAATAAAACAATCTGATTATTTTGGAAAGAGAACTATCTTCATTCTTAATTCTATGTGCTTCATCAACAACAATGTATTCCCATCTGAATTTCTGAAGAGCACCTTTCTCACGAAGAACCATTTCAAATGAGGTAATCAATACATCAAATTGTGCTGTGTATAACTGTTCTTTGATGATCTTGGCTCTTCCTTCTTTATCACCCTGTAAGACAACAACGTTGACATCAGGGGTCCATTTGGCAAACTCTCTTCTCCAGTTATCTAATGTAGATTTGGGAACTATAATAATAAATGGACCATCAATATGTTTGATATATCTCAAGTAACCCAAAAAGGAAATTGTTTGTAAAGTTTTACCCAACCCCATCTCATCAGCTAATATCCCACTAAGTCTGTCTTCGTATAAAGAAATCAACCAATTTAAACCCTGAACTTGATATTCTCTCAATTTACCTTCTTTAACATATGAAGGTGACTCTGTTAAAACAGTGTGTTGATGATCTTCATCATCTTGGTGTTCCTCATCTTGTAACAACTCTGCGTCTTCTTCTTTCTCGGTTTTTCTTCTTCTAGAACTCTTTCCCTTTTTGGTGGACTCTTTAAAAGATGTCTTACTATCAATTTCTCTGATTCTCTTCTTAAATGCTGGATCCTTGGAAGCATTGAGATTGATGAACTTTCTAAACAATGCACTTAAGCCCAATAAATATTTAAATCTTTTGGTGGAATCGTCCTTATCATGAGCTCTTTCATGTTTTGCATCAACCTCTAACAAAAATCTCTTTCTTCTTTCATCCGGGGTTTCATTCTCAAAATCTGTACCATTGGTGATAGTTGAAGAATGTCTTCGACGCAGATCGGTCATATTAATAATACAGTATAATGGTTATTTGTTGAATAATAGATGTTTGTCTTTTTTTTTTCTTTTCTTGTTTTTTTTTTGAGTTCTTTTTTCTTTCTCTGATGAATGTTGTTGAGGGAAGGAAAAAAAATAATAAAAATTAGTTCGTGTGTATACTGGGATATATTTCAGGAGATTTACTTTTTTTTTTGTTTTTTTTTTCTTGTTTTTCGCACACTCGCACGTACACTTTTATTTGAAGGTGGTTGCAAATTCAGTGGTGGCAAGATTGATCTAAACGGTTGTAAATGACGTTATATCAAAATTTGTCTTTTTTAAAAATATAGCAAGAATTGATCTATAAAGATAATCAAATAAAACTGTATGGCTGATCTTTTTTTGAAGAATACTGTGATGTCAAAAAAAAATTTATCTTGTTGAAGTTTATGCTGTTTTACCAACTAAAAAAAAAATTTCAATTAGGAGGAAAAAAGAAAAGAAAAACTTTTCGTTTGGGTTTGTTGTTTTTGGGTTGTCTGGGTTTTTTGTTCTTTGTTTTTAGTACAATAAACTCGCACAAATTCTCCTTTCAGATGTTTTTTTAACTCCATATACACGACTTGTGAATTTTATTCTTTTCTTTATTATTTATTAACACTTTTTCAAAGATAAAAATTTTATACAACGAATTACCTCTCATTTTGTAGAGAATTTCGTATATTCTTAGATGTAATATAAGTATTCACTTTAGGCTACTTCTTCAGAGAGCATTTTTGATTGAAGAGAGATGGTCTCGCATACTAATATGGAACGGCACAGAAATCAACAAACGAGGAAATAATTCAAGACGCGCTATTTGATCGTTTTGGTTCATTTTTCTTTTCCGTTGTTGTGGAACAACATATTCCTTCATGCATTAATTGTAGGTCAATTTGATAATAACTTCAATCAAATACACAGACACTGTAAATAATCAAGCATCTGTCGGAGTTCTATTCGAACTATTCTTCCTTTAAATGGAGGGTCATTTCTTATTTATGGCGAATATCCGTGCTTAAATCCAATTGCCCAAAATCAGAAAAACATCTGATATGAATCAGCTCTGATTGATTCCTGTTACAACTAAATAATGTGACTTTCGTAACTTTTATAGCTTGAACAAACATACACTCTCTGACAAGAGTACATAATCGCTGTGGATGTGCAACCTATATTTTGCTGTTCTTTTTTGATTTTGTCTTGGGATAACCAATCTCGGCTTTTATGAACTGTGCAACATCTCAGGGATGATAACAAGTACTACTTATATTCTAATTTTATACCACATAATTGTTGAAGCCATAGACTTGACAATGGCACCACAGAATGAACATAGGATCATCTTATTGGTGGTCTCCAGTATACCTTTTTTTTTGTGCATACATGTTCCCTGGAAAGTAGACACACAAAGTGTTCAAATCTCACAACCATAATTGGCTCAGGGAGGATCGCAGTGGAAATATAAATCAATAAGTTCCTTGCCAACCACTTTATTGCTATTGATCAATTAGATCGAAATAGTCAATGGCAGTTATCGAAAATCTTTTAAAACGAAAGACACTCTTTAGTGAAAGATTGTGATAGACTCCTGGAATTTTAACTTCTTAATTGAATCTTTTTCAACCAAAAGATTAATATACAATATATGTTTGGAGGTAAATACCGATAATAACAGGAACATTTGCTTCTGCCAATAAGCTTTTTTTTTTGGTGCGGTTTGTTTGTAATTGCAAATAATGGATTAATTAGTTTTTCTTCAACTTCACTAACCTTCAAATCTAATGAACTTAAAAAAAAAATACTCCCGATAGCTATTTTTACGTTAAGTCAACATAATGAAAAGAACAGTGTAATATCAGTCGTTCTCTTGAAAACAGCACATTCGGAATTGAGGGAATCCAGTGTTTCTTTTTCCTTTTTTTATGTTTTTGTTTAGTAATTTGGTAGCATTACTTCAACTACTGTCAAATTTCTGACTGACCGAGAACTTTCAAATTTCTATTGTTTTAGTTGTTAATAATGTTCTAGTATCTACGTCCGTTTGTTAGTACGCCTCTCCATCAGTTTCATATGATGTGACCTTTAAAAGAAACTGGGTGAGTGATCCATAGATTAAACTTTTGGGTTCACAAATTCCTTCTCTTTATTTTAATGTTGTATTTCTAATCGAAAAAGCATCGAAACGGTTAATCACACTTCAAACCTTATTTTGGTTTTTTTGCGTAAAGAAACAATAAGTATCCAGTAATAATTTTGGATTCTTCTCATTAAACCATGTACAAAATGGGTTGAATACAATGAAAAACTTTTCTTTTTATGTTATTTTTATATTAAGGATTGCTTAGCTTAACTATACTAATTTACGATAAGCATTGACCTTTCTTTTTCGATGGCCGTTATTTCCCATTCCACCCTTTAGTGTTGTTGTTGCATTTTATGAAACATTCCTAGATTTCCATTTCAAAAAGAATAGATATGAATTTTTACATGTGGTTAAAAGGAAAGGATACATGAGTTGCTTAAAATTATTTAAAATTGCATTAAATCCACTTTATGGGTTTCAAAATGTTTTTTAGTTAAAAAGGCCAATTGCTCAACAATCGCTACCAATGTTGCGTCTATCAATTACTTATTCCATTTTCACATTAATTAACGTTATAAATGCCAAGGTCCTCTCCGGCATATTCACCAGATTTGTTTCATTAACACAATCATCTTATAATTCGTACAGTTTCGACGGTCCAATGCTGACAACTTGGATTGCAGCTCTAGGGTGGGAAATCAATGGAACAAAAGCAAAACCAGGTGATACATTTACTTTAGAGATGCCCTGTGTTTATAAAATTTTTATAAATGAAGAATCTATTGACTTAATTGGAAATGATATTAGTTTAGCAACTTGTGAAGTCCACTCTGGTGAACATATATCCACAAATTCGTATTTGAATTGTGTTATGAATGATTCTTTAGACGAAAGAACCAATATTGATGGAATTTTGAGACTCCCTATTATGTTCAATGTTGGAGGTTCCGGTCAAGATACTGACTTAGATGCGGCATCATCGTGTTTCAATACTGATTCCAACATAATTGCTTTCAACAATGGCGACACAAGTATTTCCATTCAACGAAGCTTTTCAGTAAGAGCAATTTTTGATACTGTACCAATAAACTTTGTTCGGGTAGGAAAAACTATTAGTGAATTAGAGGTACTCATTGTTGCTCCAAATTGTCCACAAGGTTACACAAATGGTAGACTAGCAATTGCTGCTTCAGACCGTGACGTTATCATAAAATGCTCTACTATAACATCGGGATTTGCCAGTAAACTTAACAAGTGGAACCTTCCAGAAAATTTAGTACAACTTTACCACGGCAGTCTTTGTACTTCACGTCAATTTTCTATTAGTTATACTAATATTCCAGAAGGGTATCGTCCATTTCTACTGGTAACTTTAAGCAATGCTGTTAGTTCTTCATTTAACCTTCGTTACACGATTCAGAATACATGTGAAAAAGACACGTTTAATGATCAATCAAGATCAGTTTCCTGGAGAAAGTTAAACTATGGATCTATCGATTCATATGGTGGTATCATGATTCCCGTCACAAGAACTAGAACAGGCACCGCCTCAACTAGATTGGTCACTACACGACCTTTTGATCCTTCGACGCACAGAACAAAAACAATCGAAATTATTGTGCCGATTCCAACCAGAACACGAACTTCTTCATACCTTGGAATCACGACGTCCATATCTACAATCAATGCTTATATTGGTGCCACCGCTACAGTAATTGTTAACAACCCTTATCATGTTACCACGACGTTGACTACATATTGGACAGGTTCAACAACTTCTACAACAACATCTATTGCTCAAACTGATTCCATTGATGAGGTTTATGTACTAGTCCCAGTTCCAAATCCTACAATCACTAGAACGGAATTTTGGACAGGAAGTTACTTTAGAACAACCACTGTCACTAATAGACCGCGTCAAACAGATATTGTTCAAGTTGAAGTACCTCAAAATCCTACAACAACAATCACTACGCTTGGAAATGTCCAATCACGTCTGACCAGTATACAAACAAATGGTCCTCTGAATACTGATACTGTGGTTGTGATTGTTCCTCCAAATCCAACTGTTACCACTTCATCATTCTGGAGTGAGGATTATGCAAGTGTGGTTACATACACTAACGATGTTCTTGGGACAGATTTTGTGGTAGCTTATTTTCCTGTGAATCCTACTTCCTTGTTGAACCAGTTCTGGACAGAAGATTACATTAGTACGGAAACACAAACTAATGATCCTGAGGGTACTGACTACCTTGTTGTTTACTACCCACCTAATCCAACTACCACCACAAGTGAATTCTGGACTGGAGACTATGTCAACACGGTGACTCTACAGAATGAGCCACAAGAAACCGACACAGTGATTGTTCAGTATCCTGCTAATCCAACTGAGACCACTACTGAGTTTTGGAGTGAAGATTACAGAACCACATTGACTCAGATGAATGATCCTTCTGGTACGGATAATGTCATTGTCTATGCTCCTGCCAATCCAGCTGTTACTACCGCTGAATTCTGGCCAAATAGTGTCACCTCATCAGTCACGGAAACCAATGGTCCTGATAATACCGACACGATTGTTGTTTATGTTCCCCACAATCCAACTACTACCAGAACTGAATTTTGGACTGGGGACTATGCTACGAGGGTAACACATACTTATGGGCCAGACACTACTGACGAGGTTGTTGCCTACTATCCATTTAACCAGGTGATCACTAGAACCGAGTTCTGGACTGAGGATTTTACTAGCACGATCACTGATGACAATGGGGCTGAGGAAACCGATAATGTCGATATCTACGTTCCACCAGATCCAACATCTATTTCTTCTACAATCTGGCTTGTATCTGATACTATAATTAGTATTGAAACAGATGATTCTGATAATAGTAGCATGGTATCTATAGAATCTTCAACTGAAGTACAGTCTATCACTGAAGTACTTCATATCATTGAATTTGGTAATGTAAATTATAATGCTATCCCCGGTCAAAATAATTTCTCAACAACATATTTTGAAACCTGGTCGAAATCAACGGATTTTCCCTCATCTACAACAAGAACAACAATGCATTCTGGACATGTCACCACCAGTCAACAGAGTGACTTTGGTAATAGCAAGGCTATTTATTCTAGTTCTGATCAACATCCATTTAGCTCTAATGAAATGTCTGTGTCTACATCATCAGTGGAAGATGTGCTGTTTTCTGATGTTTTCAATGCATCAGTCACGAGTGAAACTCACATTGTCCAAACCTCAGAATTGCCATTGATGGATATTGGTTCAAGTACTAGCATTAAGTACTTTTATTCCATGTATTCTGTTGAAAATTCACATCCACAATCACATCTTGAAGAATCATTGCTTCCATATGAGAGTATATCCGACCAGAGATGGACTCGTATGCCCACGCCGTCTACACTGGAATTACATCCTCAAGTATCGTCTACTGAACTTCCTAGTCAACTCATTCTGGATATTTCTTATGTTTCTTACAATCTTCAGAATTTTGTCGGGTCTAATATCCTGTTGTCTTCAGCCGATAACTATTTTCTGGTTTCACTACCTACTACACATACTAAGGGAAGTGCATCTAGCTATTTTACAGAAGCTGAAACTTTTATTGCGATGCAAATGTCTTCTTTGATAGCTGAACCGTCACTGTTATCTGTGTTAGATTCTGGTATATCTTCAACCAACCCTGTTAGTGCCAGTATAGCTTTATTTGAAACATCCAGTAGTGTGGTGCCGCTGATTTTGTTGTCGAGTATTTCTGATTACTCCTATGAATCATTGAGTACCTCAACAAATGAATTTATTATCCTTGAGGGAAATTTTTTGTTTATGGAATATCTGAATAGTTGGAAGGTGACTAAGGAGTCAACAGTTGAAAATTTAGGTACCATTCCAGTTAGAAGTGGAAGTGAATCTATTTCTTCTTCCATTTTATATCAAAATGTTTTATTCGTTACAGATAGGCCACATATTGGAACGAGCTTTGGATATGAAACTAACGTTCGAGAATCATCAAGTCTGTATGTACCAACCATTGTTGAATCTGATTCGTTCGATATGAAACCTACGCTGCTAATGACTGTGTCTGAAAATGTGGCCATTCATCAAGTTGGTTTGTTTGTCGATTGTCCTAGTAGTCTTGATGAAATCAATACTAATTCTGTTTGCACCCACGATTTCCCAAGCAGTATACTTGAAAGTATGGATTCTAATAACATCAAGTATACTTCAGTGAATGGAGAGTTAATGACATCAACTATTTTTGCTACAAGCTCACTTTTGGGACAGTCTACAACAGTGCATGAACTGGTTGTTACCTCACTAGAACCGGTTCCGACCTTCATGATTGAACATTATTTAACCTCATTAGATGCTGAATTTGTGTCCTTATCAAGTGAAACAGATCATTTTGAGAATAATTCAGAACAATTTTTAACATCAAGTGAATCTATGTTGTCTTCTTTTGATGTAAGCGATGGTTTTACTTTTTTGGAAACTTCGTTGGAAAGGCAATTAACTTATTCACATAAAGATATACAGATTCCTGATGCAGGTGTTTCTTCAATTGATGAAGAATTTTCATATTCTGAAAGTTTTCCTATATCATATAATTATCATTTGACCTTAAATTCCAATTCTGTCTCAGCACTGAATATATTTAGTGAGGTTGTTGAATCGGTAACTAGTTTGGATAGTGATGAAGAAATCATACCAGGTTTTACTTCTGTTATTACATCGAGTTCCAAAGATGATCCTACTACCAACATTCCAGCAATCAGCCTGATCGATACAAATGATATGAATGTGAATTCTAACTTGTTCTACCACCACAGTTCAATGGCAATTACAGAAGAATTTGAAAGTACCAGTTTGCAATCTTCAGCTACTGATCTTTTGGTTGATACCATCGAGGTAGTCGATTCAAATTCTAATATTTATCACCCTGTTTATTCATTGGCTGTAAATGTAAGACCTGTTTATTGGAATGAGTCCACTACTATACTGAAGTCAATCATTTCAACAACTCAATTTGAAAAAGCAGTTTCTAGTCAAAGTCCAGAGTTTTCAATCAGTCCCCTTATGGAATCTTTGTCTATTGATAACTCACCAAATCAGGTCTCAATATCAACATTACTGAGTTCTTATTCCGTATTTTCTACTGTTGTTCATTTTACTGATGATATTGACAGTTTGTTGTCCACCGGTACAAATGAAATTATTGATGTTGGAGATTATGATGGAAAAACTTCATCCTCGATAAATAGCAAAGTCACAATAGGTTCGTTTGCATCAGATGCATTATTGTCTTCTATTGTTGTTGAAAATGGTTATACTCAGGGGGCTTCCAGTTCACTAAATGACATCTCCATTGCTGATCTGCAGAGTATTGAAAAGGAAACTGCAACCATTCAAGATCGACTATATTCAGTTACTATGATTGAATCAGTTGACATATCTACCAAGAGTGTTGATAGAAAAAGTGAGATCTCAAAAAATGAAGCTAGTCATGAACTGTGGGATCTGTTATCAGAAGATAATGATGGCACAAAAATAGAAAACTATCCATCTGATGACAAGAATCTTATCACTTTGAGTGAAAGTTTAATTTCAAGTGGTGATATTTCATCAATTCTGTCAACTATAATGTCAGATAAAAATAATCTCGCAATGGTCACTTCAATTGTCCTGGATATTCCTGGAATCATCGATTTTTCTAAAGATGATCATAAAAATATCACAAAAAGCATTCTGAGTTTGGATTCAATATTCCAATACACTACTTTAACTCAGCAATTTGTTTCAGCATTTACACCAAATATTTCATTTATTGCAAAAGGTGGTTCTTCAACACTATTCTATTTACCAAATTGGCTCTTCATAAATTTGTTTTTACTAGTTATATTGTTATAGTATTTCATTGAGTTTATAATTAATTTTAACTGTTTAATTTATAATTGTAATTCCATAATTTAGGTGCAAAAAATACAAAAAGTGGAAGTACCTAACTAGTCATTCTTTGTTTACTTATAGTATAGTATAACGTGAAATATGCTATATGTACGAAATACGCCAAAATATAAATTCAAAAAGTTTTTTTGATATACACGAGAATTTGATTGTTATAAGTGGTTTTTACTTAAAGAGTTGACTATGTTTGGCTGGTTATTAATTACAAGTTAACGTACAAGTTAATTGGACTATCGTAGTTTGATGGGTTTTGGTCATATTTATTTTAAGAAACTCATATACAATCATTTATTTAATTTACGAGGGTCATAACCCTCGGTAATATATTAAAAAAAGAATGATTGTGGTTAGAAAGTCTATTTGGTCATGCATTTACTATGTTAGTAATATAGCAAGTGCCACCTGATAATCAACCAATATATATTAGTTTTTGCAACTCTATTTTTATTCTTGAAAAGCTAAGGGTAGCTTTCATCTCTTCTTCTTCAAATTCTTGTATAATAAGTAATTATAGTAATCTTGAGTGATTGTTGATTCTGTAATCACTATAAGTGGCTACTTAAAGAGGAAACGTAAATGAAGAGGATGTAAGTCATGCGGTCAACTAGGGTCTGGTAAATACCACCTTAACGCAGATACAAAACCTGTAAATAAACAAATGATAGTGGACATTGTTTTTCTAAAAAAAAAAACCTGCGTTCTGTTACAGATTTGATTGTTTATCCAGATCACGAGGCGGGATAGCTAAAAAAATGCTCCAGGCGCGGGTTAATGTACTTTTATTTTAGGTTTAGATCTATAGTTGGCAATAAAACTTCCGCAAACTTTTCTGGGCTCTCAAGGAATTGAGAAGACTTTGTCTGATAGGTCCTTGAATCTATTCTGTCATTTTTTTGATTGTAGATATGAATGGCCATTACTATTGTAGTTAAACTAAAGAAAGTAGAAAACTTGAAGTAAAAAAATATTTGTCCTAGACTTGTGGAATCCTTGTTATGTGGTATTTTTTTATTTTGCTTTGCTAATACGGCAGCATGGAAATATGGAAAAAATAAATCGATTGCAAAACTTTTCTCGGATGAACTTGGAACCACATTGTACTAATGTCATTTGGCACACAGGAATTTTGAGTCTTTTTTTGTAATACTTAGAGGTATTACTTTTTGGTATTGTATTAACAACCTAATAGGCATACATAAATCCGTGGAATGCATGACACGACAATCTCAAGTATCATAAAATCTGATAGCAAGTAAGATTGTATTGAAGATCTGATATCTGGCATCCCTTTGGAATAATATCATAAAAGTCCATCATTGATAATATGTATTATGTAATGTTTTAGTTCAAGCTTAGAAATAATTGTGATTAAAGGAATAGGGTTAATATATATGCGTCCAATAACTGGTTACTTATGTAGAATAAAAAACCTGGACGGATTGTTTATACAAACCGAATAGTTAGAAATCATGTGTATAAGACATGTGTCAACTATTCGGCTAATAAGTTCAATGGGTTTTCTTTTTGAATAATTATCTTTTAAACTTATGTAATGTAAAGAAATTCTTATCGAACGTCTTTATTAGTGACCTTAAAGGTTATAATTATTGTTAATGAACAATTGCTGACGTGAGTGGTTTTTGTTAGCACTTTGTTCTAGCGATACAGTTGTTTAAAGTGTGCATGGTTCATCGGAAAGTGGGGCATTAATCTTTTTGCAAGGGAATACAAAGAAAAAGGGAAGTATTTGCAATAACTTAATTCTTGACTTAATCATACGATAAAATTCAAAAAAAAAAAAAAAAATAGAAAAATGAATTAGCCTAGAAACCTTAACTTAAACTTTAATCCAACACATCGGTCTGTGATTTTAGTGTTTAATTTATTGAACCAGCAAGAACCATTTAGATAATCCAAGATTCCTTGCCACACTCATTAACAAAATACTAACCCCCTCATTACTAATTATTATATTAATGGGATAAGAAATATGAAATGATAATCTATTTTCTATTTTAGAGAAAAAGGAGCATTCCGACTTTGACCCGACGTGTAAATTTCATAACCAGCGAATGGTTTGAAGTGCATTTCTTGGTTATCATCATTCAAAACCACTTGCTATTATATAAACTAAAGGCATTATTTGTTGAAAATTGTCCGGGATAAAAACCCGAAATCCCTTTGGGGTGAATTCAACATTCTTGGAATAATAATACCAAATAAGGAAATCTGACTTTTGGGTAATGCATTCAGGCTATGTTGAATAATATTCATTGCATCATATCTATGTTAACTGTGTAGAGAAAATTAAGGGATGTTAAAAGAATAGAACCAATTGTAGCTTTTGTCTAACACCTAAATTTGATTAGAATAAATGTGTCAAGGAATTTATATATGCTCTCCGACTGCATCGTTAGTCTAGTTGAAAAGTGTCACAAAACAACTGGGGAACCCATAAAAAATCACCTTCCCCTATTCAACGGTAGCGGAAAATATCAGCGCCATAGAAGTATAAAAAAGAAAGTTTTGATCAGAGTTTATGATATTACCGCTATGCTCTATTAAAGCTAGAATAGAGCCAAAGTATAGTCCTTTTGTGTTGCTTAGGGGCTAAAAAGATCGACATTTTTCAAGCTAAAACTGAAGCTATAAATTGTTCAAAATATAAATTTTCCTGTTGTGGGAATTCTTTAATATGACTGGGATGTGTAAACCAATCAGTGTATTGTAATTCTTTTACATTGATATATTTGTCTCTACTGTCATTTTTAATACTACTTTGTCATGACTACCAGATCAAGGTTGGTTTTAATTTGAATTGGCGTTAGTAGTTGGGTATAATGCTTAAACTATAATCAAACCTTGACCCCTTTGGTAGTATATACAAGATGAAGGTGAACACATGGAGTGAACTGCAAATTTTAGGATTAGTTTATTTTCTTTTTGAGGGAATATCGGGATGAACTTCACTATATGCTTGATGAGATTCCAAATGCTCTATAGAATGATAAAGTGCCGTGAAATGTTCAATTACTCATAACCTATCTGTTAGTGACTAGAAACGGGCGATTGTATATTCTTTTCTTACCATAGATACTTCCCATGGCATTGTCTTAAGTTAATTATTTTGTGGATGGTAAATAGGCATTGTCATAAGAATGATCATGTTTGCTACATTAATGAATCAATATATTATAATGAATTACAGGGAATACTGACAAACTAGAAATAAGATTTCAAAAGAACTTAAACTACAAATAATTTCAGGTTAAGTAGCGTATGAAATTTCATCCAGTTAAGCACTTTTTGACCCTATTACCAATTAACTCATGCGGTTGTATGCACTCATTTTATATTTAACCACTAAAAATAGCAAGGGGCTTACTCTTTGCTTTTCTTTTGGATAATGGAAAACTTTAATAACTTCTTGAAGACAGCAACACCCTTTTAATTGCGGATATGTTACATAACCAATGCAAAATTTAGAATTTACTACATTCAAAAGAAAATTTCAGGTTTATTATACATACCAGAAGTTATTCAGTCTGACGAAGTCAAAAAAAAAAATCACACTAAAAAGAAAAAGCTATATCAAATTTCAATTCCTGACTTTTGTACAAATATTGCATACATTATTGGCAAAAAAGAAAAATGTTGGTAATCTATACATTCATTTTACAAAATACATGCTATTGTGTTCCGTTGCTGCTCGTAAATATGTATACGGAAATTCATTGTACGTCATTTGTCTCAGATGTCATAAAAAAATGATCCCCGGGTAGTATATATCAGAAATAATTATTCCTAGTCTTTGTTGTTATGAGCTTTTCCTTTAGCTATTTTTTTAACTCTATTCAATAATCCCAATTGTATTGTTTCCTTAAAGGAAAATTGATCTATTTTGAGAAGGTTAAATTACCGAAACTAAATTTACTCAAGCTTTTGAGAAATGTTCTAATTAATTTAACTAATTTTCCATTCTTTTACAAATAAAGAAAAAAGATAATCTTCCATAGTTTAAGTTTTATTATGATCTATAATTTGGAAACCTTTTTTTTATATATTGGCATGCAATTTAGTCATGTCCACCTTTTTTTACGTCAATTGAAATAATAGAGTTATGTATAGATTTCATAAATAGGCTATCATTGTAAACTGAAAGAAAAAAAATGAAAACCAAATTATATTGCGAAATTGATAACGATTGGATTACTGCAAAATTTCCAAAATGAACTGAAAAATTTCACAAGAAAATAAAAGGAAGTTGGGTATAACTCCATGTGCCTTTCTCATTGAATAGTGGTTGTTGGATTCTTATTTTTTTTAGTCATAGAAAGGGTATTAATGATTGGCCATCCTTCTCATCACATAGTTTCGTCTTTGTGTCCCTTTCTAGATATTGGAGCACTGCTTTCTTTTATACTAAAAAAGCTTCTTTTTTTTTATAGAAAGGGCTCAATATTTGAAATTTTATGATGAAATGTTTAGATGAGTTCATGGGGGAAAATTTTTTCCAATAGTATATAATTACACAACTTTCACCTTGTCTGGGCAATTGAGAGACGATGTAGCGTTATCATTTATCACCAAAACTATAATGGTTCTCATACAAGCCATTGTGCTATTAATATGGATTCAATTGGTATCTTCAAAAGAGATATCTGGGATTTTTATTGGTTTCGATTCATTAACATGGAATGCTGCTTCGGATTTACCCAGTGCATACCAAGGTCCACAAATTCCTACCTGGACTGCAGAACTAACATGGTTTTTGAATGGAGAATCTGCTGAACCAGGTGATACATTCACATTAATAATGCCATGTGTATTCAAGTTCATTACAAATCAAAACACTGTTGATTTGATTGCTGATGGCACTACTTATGCGACCTGTAATCTCAATTCTGGAGAAGAATTTACTACTTTCTCAAGTTTAAGCTGTACTGTTTCATCTACCTTGACAACATATACCCAAGCTCGTGGTACTTTACATGTTCCTTTGACATTTAATGTGGGTAGTTCGGGAACTTCTGTTTCGTTGACTGATTCTACTTGCTTCAGACCAGGTGTAAACACAGTAACTTTCAGAGATGGAGACAATGAAATTTCAACACAAGCAACTTTTCAAGGTAGTCCAGATGACCCATCACCAGACCGTTATTATCAAAGAGTTATTCCATCCCTTAACAAAGTGTCAAATCTAGTCTATCCTCCTAATTGTCCAAATGGGTATTCTTCCGGTGTTATCAGCTTCTCCTCGAGTGATTCTAATTTCCAACTTGACTGTTCCTCACTTGATGTTGGTATGACAAATCAATTAAATGCATGGAATTTCCCTACTAGTAGAGATTCTTTGTCTTATACAAGGAGTTGTAGTGACAAAAGTATTACTGTTAACTTTCAGAATGTTCCTGCGGGTTCGCGTCCCTACATTAGTGTCCTATCTGCTTTTCTTGGTACCAAAACCTATTCAATTAATTACAATTTGAGATACACTTGCAGTGGTAGTAGATCAAGTTCTGTGACAAAAACTATAAGCTGGGCTCCATATAGAAACAGTTTGGCCGATTCCAATGGGGCAGTGGTCGTGTACACTACCAGCACAGTCACTGCGACAACGACCGGAGTTACAACACTTCCATTCAATCCATCAACAGACAAAACCGAAACTATTCTTGTTCTTGTACCTATTCCTACAACTACCATCACTACTTCATATGTAGGTGTTACTACTTCATACTCCACTATATCTGCACCCATTGGTGGTACTGCTACTGTCATTGTTGACAAACCATACCATTTCTACAACTACAATTTACACAGGATGGACAGGTGAAAGAACCACGACAACAACACTCATTGCGTCGACTGATTCAATAGACACCATTTTAATTGAAACACCGCTTCCAAACCCAACATTGACTACAACAATATATACCAACATTGTCACACCAACCACATTCACAGAAACCGACACTCCAGGTGGCACTGATACTGTTGTCGTTGTTGAGCCAATCAATCCAACAACTACTGTGACTTCATATGGATCTGTTTCAGAAGCTACGACCTACACAGAAACCGACACTCACGGTGGTACTGATACTGTTGTCGTTGTTGAGCCAATCAATCCAACAACTTCTGTGACTTCATATGGATCTGTTTCTATTCCAACCACATTTACAGAAACCGACACTCACGGTGGTACTGATACTGTTGTTGTTGTTGAGCCAATCAATCCAACAACTACTGTGACTTCATATGGATCTGTTTCTATTCCAACCACATTTACAGAAACCGACACTCACGGTGGCACTGATACTGTTGTCGTTGTTGAGCCAATCAATCCAACAACTACTGTGACTTCATATGGATCTGTTTCAGAAGCTACGACCTACACAGAAACTGACACTCACGGTGGCACTGATACTGTTGTCGTTGTTGAGCCAATCAATCCAACAACTACTGTGACTTCATATGGATCTGTTTCTATTCCAACCACATTTACAGAAACCGACACTCACGGTGGCACTGATACTGTTGTCGTTGTTGAGCCAATCAATCCAACAACTACTGTGACTTCATATGGATCTGTTTCAGAAGCTACGACCTACACAGAAACTGACACTCACGGTGGTACTGATACTGTTGTCGTTGTTGAGCCAATCAACCCAACAACTACTGTGACTTCATATGGATCTGTTTCAGAAGCTACGACCTACACAGAAACTGACACTCCAGGTGGCACTGATACTGTTGTTGTTGTTGAGCCAATCAATCCAACCACTACTGTCACTTCATATGGATCTGTTTCTATTCCAACCACATTTACAGAAACTGACACTCACGGTGGCACTGATACTGTTGTCGTTGTTGAGCCAATCAACCCAACCACTACTGTCACTTCATATGGATCTGTTTCTAAAGCTACGACCTACACAGAAACTGACACTCACGGTGGTACTGATACTGTTGTCGTTGTTGAGCCAATCAATCCAACCACTACTGTGACTTCATATGGATCTGTTTCTATTCCAACCACATTTACTGAAACCGACACTCACGGTGGCACTGATACTGTTGTTGTTGTTGAGCCAATCAATCCAACAACTTCTGTGACTTCATATGGATCTGTTTCTATTCCAACCACATTTACAGAAACCGACACTCACGGTGGCACTGATACTGTTGTTGTTGTTGAGCCAATCAATCCAACCACTACTGTGACTTCATATGGATCTGTTTCTATTCCAACCACATTTACAGAAACTGACACTCACGGTGGCACTGATACTGTTGTCGTTGTTGAGCCAATCAACCCAACCACTACTGTCACTTCATATGGATCTGTTTCAGAAGCTACGACCTACACAGAAACTGACACTCACGGTGGTACTGATACTGTTGTCGTTGTTGAGCCAATCAACCCAACCACTACTGTCACTTCATATGGATCTGTTTCAGAAGCTACGACCTACACAGAAACTGACACTCCAGGTGGCACTGATACTGTTGTCGTTGTTGAGCCAATCAACCCAACAACTACTGTGACTTCATATGGATCTGTTTCAGAAGCTACGACCTACACAGAAACTGACACTCCAGGTGGCACTGATACTGTTGTCGTTGTTGAGCCAATCAACCCAACCACTACTGTCACTTCATATGGATCTGTTTCAGAAGCTACGACCTACACAGAAACTGACACTCCAGGTGGCACTGATACTGTTGTCGTTGTTGAGCCAATCAACCCAACCACTACTGTGACTTCATATGGATCTGTTTCAGAAGCTACGACCTACACAGAAACTGACACTCCAGGTGGCACTGATACTGTTGTTGTTGTTGAGCCAATCAATCCAACCACTACTGTCACTTCATATGGATCTGTTTCTATTCCAACCACATTTACAGAAACCGACACTCACGGTGGCACTGATACTGTTGTCGTTGTTGAGCCAATCAATCCAACAACTACTGTGACTTCATATGGATCTGTTTCAGAAGCTACGACCTACACAGAAACTGACACTCACGGTGGTACTGATACTGTTGTTGTTGTTGAGCCAATCAACCCAACCACTACTGTCACTTCATATGGATCTGTTTCAGAAGCTACGACCTACACAGAAACCGACACTCCAGGTGGCACTGATACTGTTGTCGTTGTCGAGCCAATCAACCCAACGACCACCGTCACTTCATATGGATCCGTCTCAGATGATGATACTAGTTCCGCTGGATCTGCTTCGGAGTTGTTGTCGTCTACGGCACGTTACTGGAACTCAACTGTACAATCTCGCTCGGATTCTAGATCTTCTGATCTGTCAATATTGCAACTGACTTCCCTTGTCGGTTTTTACGCAGAAGCTAGTAGTACTTCTGATTCGGTAATCGTTCCTTTGACTTCGCAAGTTTCTAGTATGGAAAGCTTCGCGTTTTGTCGTCGGGATGATAATAATGGTTGTGTGTCAGATTTCCCTGGTCAATCTTTAACAATTTCGTTGTCTGAAGATGCAACTGCTAGTAGTGATGAATATGTAACCGTCAGCCTGTTGTTATCAGAATCAAATTATCAATTAACTTCAACGAAGACATATTCGCCTTCAGATAGCTCAATGGGCTTGGCCACTCTGTGGTCATTGGATACTGAATTGATTGTTTCGTCTAGCATTAATTATCCTACTTCCATCAATAATGACGGTCCAATGTCATTGGATGACCCTGAGAACAGTATGTCTGCTGCCTATAGCTCTTCCTTGTTTTCATTTGTCGTTTCAAGAGCAACAGAAACAGAATCCACTGCATCGAATACTGATTCACGAAGCTCATCTACCTATTCATCTCCTTTGGTGGTATCACCATCTTCATCGTCATCATCACTCGTCGATGATTCTACTTCTGGGTTACAAAGTGATCATGAATCAGAAGCTACTATTGCATACTCAGAGAGTACTACCAGCTCTCCATATAACACTGTCTCCACTTCATCAGATACTTCTGCTATTTTTACGACGTTGCTGGCTACTCTATCATCGAGGTTAATGTCTGAAACTGGTTTCGTTTCTTTTTATCCCGATATACCTACTCCGCTGGTGGAAACTTTGCAGGTTGTTGACACACCGAATACGTTTGAATCTGGGGGAAAGGTTCCTTCTCCAACTAATCCATCTCCGTCATCTCCATCGTCATTAACCTTATCAGAATATACTAGTCAGAGTTCTACAAAATCAAGCATCCCAAGCAGTGCTCCTTTCTTGTGGTCAGTTGAAACCAATTACTTGTCACAAAGTGAAGTAGTCTTTTTGAGAACAACCATTCCAGCACCCTCATTGCCAACTGAGGCATCTTCTACTAGTGAATCTTTCGCTATGTCTAGGTCAATAGCAACTAGTTCTGCTGGTTATAATCCATCTGCTACATGGTCAGAAGCTTTGACGATTAGTGGTTCTACGTTATCTGAGGCTGCTACTGTAAGCTTCTCACTGAATGAACTTACTAATCCTAGTGGTAATACGGTAACTAGCTCTATGGCTAGAAGTGATTTGTCACGAACTACATTAAGTCAACATATTTCAACTTCTTCAATGTCATATTCTGTTGCTATATCAACATATACTGATTCGGGCTCTATTCTTGAATGTTCTAAATGGTTATTCATTTTCTTTTCATTGATTTCATTTATTATTTAGTTTCTTTGGTATTCATTTCACTTACAATTTTTTTTCCTCGTTATGGTTTATTTCTATTTATTTCTTTTTTCTATCCCCTTATTTCGTCGTTGTTGTTTTATTTTGTTGTGTTATTTATTCTTTTTTTTGATTTCTTATATAGTTTTATTGAATTTATGCATTTGAGTCCTTCGTAACACCTTTGTAGACGCGTCTGTTGCCATTATATTTCCCTATTTAGGAAATTGCATCTTACATTTTATCATCCCAATTGATCAACTACATTGTTCGAGAAACGGGACTTGGTGTAACGTGTGTCACCGAAGAAGAGAGGAGCAAAGTTTTGTGCGCCATTCATTATCCTACGGACCAAATATTATTTAACAATGTGGGGGGGCATGGCACATTATGCAATGCTGCTCCTTCTACCCCTTAACACAGACTGATTTCCACAAGAAGACTAACAGTATTCCAAACAATTGGAAAGTCCTTGAATATTACATTTCTTCAAGATAAGATTTGCCTATCAGCTATAAATCTCCACTGATCGGCCACATTCCGAAGAGGTTGTTATAACCAACAAGAGACACTGAAACTTATAGGATTATCATAATAATGTAATCAGCTACAACTTACAGTCTAGACCTGTTTATACAAACCCCGTTACCAGTCAATGGTGACAGTGTTCCATTAATTTCTAAGCGTAACCATTTAATTCGCACTCAATTGGCTGGGTGTGTGTTCCCTCCCCTTATCAATGTAAACGTATTACAAATCAGCGACGAGGACCTAGACTCGCGCGTCCTCGTAATAAATTTTCTCTTAATTACTAAGAGATCATCGAAAAAAATGGCCTGCACACAAACAGAGGAAGAAAACGGGATTGCCACAGTTAGGAAAAGGAAACCGTCGGGAAATCATATGCCAAAATTTCCCAGCGAGTTTGAAATTCTTTATAAAGACAACTTCTTGCCCTCACTTTTTTTTTTCTTTCTTTGTTAATTCTTCCTTTTTCCTTTTTTCTTTTACAACAATTCAATTGATCAATTATTAATAACACAATGGCTCCAGTCGTCCAACAACCAGCTCCATCTTTCAAAAAAACCGCCGTCGTTGATGGTGCTTTCGAAGAAGTCACTTTGGAACAATACAAAGGTAAATGGGTCGTTTTGGCTTTCATCCCATTAGCTTTTACTTTTGTCTGTCCATCCGAAATCATTGCTTACTCTGATGCTGTCAAGAAGTTTGCTGAAAAAGATGCTCAAGTCTTGTTTGCTTCTACTGATTCCGAATACACCTGGTTGGCCTGGACCAATGTCGCTAGAAAAGATGGTGGTATTGGTAAGGTTGACTTCCCAGTCTTGGCTGATACCAACCACACTTTGTCCAAGGACTACGGTGTCTTGATTGAAGAAGAAGGTGTTGCCTTGAGAGGTATTTTCTTGATTGATCCAAAGGGTACCTTGAGACAAATCACCATCAATGACTTGCCAGTCGGTAGATCTGTTGACGAAACCTTGAGATTGTTGGAAGCTTTCCAATTCACTGACAAATACGGTGAAGTTTGTCCAGCTAACTGGCAACCAGGTGCTGAAACTATCAAACCAACCCCAGAAGCTTCTAAGGAATACTTCAACAAGGTCAACAAATAAATAAGCTAGCTTGTTTTTGTTAATGTTATAGATAGTAAGGCTATGTATAGTTGATTTATTTGATATAAATGTATGTATTTAAGTTATTTAAAAATTGAATATTCACTCAATTGACTGTGGTTCGTATATCCCCCTATTTTGTTCGTTCCAAAGGAAGTGGTGTAAAACTGCTCATCTTCTGTGGGGGAGGATAGCATCGGCAACGAGACCAAACAAAGAACATTGAAAAAAAAGAAAAAAGAAATCTGTACAATACAAATCCTTTCTTTCATGACTTGATTCATCAATCCAATTTTACGATGACTACAACAGAGATATTCTTTTACAAGTTCTTGGTGACAAAACAAGTGTTTTTCAAATCAAAATACACATATGCATTAGTTAATCTAAAACCCTTAGTTCCGGGACACGTTTTAGTGGTTCCGTTACGTACAAATATTTTAAGATTTGCTGATTTATCTTCAGAAGAATCCATTGATTATATGAATACACTTCAGTTGATTCACAAGTTTATACAACATATATATAAAGCTGATGCATTGAATATAGCTATTCAAGATGGACCTGAGTCCGGACAATCTGTACCACATTTGCATACCCATATTATACCAAGATACAAAACAGACGGATATGGAGATTCTATTTATACAAAGTTGGAAGTGGAAGATTTGGAAACGCAATATGAAGAGTTTTTCGCTAGGAAAAATTCATACAGAGAAGCATATGAAGATAAAGTAGATAAAGAATTAGCTAAAAGTGATTCAGATAGAGTTCCTCGAGATGAAGCCACCATGGCTAAAGAAGCCAATTGGTTAGCTCAAGAATTGGAAAAGTTTAAAGGAAATTAATTCATTAATAGATTTATCATTGGTTGTATTATTAAATAAATGTCTATTTCACAATATTTCCATCTATTAAACCCCAGTCTATTTTATCCTTTTGGTGTTTCTCCAAAAATTCATTACATTGAAGGAAGACTTTCAGGTTCAAAAATCCACGATAAGCTGACAATGGTGAAGGATGAACTGTTTTCAAAACTAAAAAGTGATCTTTATTAGAAGCCATTTTAAATTTGGCTACTCTTTTCTGAGCTGGCGAACCCCATGCCATAATAACAAGAGCATCATCTTTATGAAATTCCAAAATATTTTTAATCACATTCTCAGTGAATTCTTCCCAACCTTGATTAGCATGACTATTTGCTTTATGAGCTTCTACTGTAAGAACAGCATTAAGCATCAAAACTCCTCTCTTGGCCCATTTGGTAAGATTACCTCCTCCTGGTTGTTTCTTAGGATCTGGTACTTCGAAATTTGGATAATCATTACTTATTGTTTTATAGATATTAACCAATGATGGAGGAGGGCGCGTCGGTTCGAGTACAGAAAATGCCAATCCATGTGCTTGATTCGGTCCATGATATGGATCTTGTCCAATAATTAAACATTTCACATCAGGTAATGGTGTCAATTGTGACCAAGAGTAAATTTGATTAGCAGGTGGATAAATTGTCTTTCCCAGTTGTGATTTCAAAAATTTCTTTAATTTAAGAAAATATGGTTTTGTCAATTCTTTATGAAGAAATGCAAGCCATGTTATATGTAAACTTTCAATCTCTAAACGTAACAATTCTCTTTGCTCGGGATTTAATGAATCTACCCATTTGGATTTATTGAAATTGAATTTTTCACAAAATTTATCATAGTTATCTGGATGATCTTTAACAATACCATTAAATTCTGGAGCAGATACTTCTTCATCAGATTTTGTTTGATTCTTTATATCCTGTGGTTTTTCTTCTTTTGACACTTCATCTACTACCTTCTCATCTTTTGACACCTCATCTACTAATTTTTCATCTTTTGACACTTCATCTACTGCTTTCTCATCTTTTAGTTCTTTTTCCTCTGATTTCTCGATCTGTTCCTTAGCAATAGTTTGTTTACCATTCAGAATATCTTTCTTCTTCTCAGTAGGTTTTCTTATCTTTGACTTTTGGATTTTTGTTTTTTTGGCCTTTGATACATCTTTACTGAAAAAATCAGTAATTAGAATACGTTTTGACATTTTGTACAGCGAATTGGATATGCTTCTTCTATAAATAATGTTAACTCTTGTAATAAATGAAATAGTTGAATATGAGCCTCGTCGAAGCATTGACATATATGAAATGAAAAATTAGTAAATAACTTGCCAGTCATTATCGCGTACTTCAAGTTTTTTTTTTAGTGCGTGTGGTATACCAAGAGCATCACTAGGAGACGCGTCTGATTAGAACACCTCCATGATAAGACGCTATATTAATTAATCATAAAAGTATCCGAAATATATGTTCACTATGACAACGTCAGCATTATATTTGAAAATAAGTATTATTTAAGTAAATTTTCGGTGGTTGAATGTTTTTGTTTAATTTCAATCATATTTTGCAAAAAAATATGGGGAAATTGTACTGAAGAATCTGATCAATAATAATGACATTAAATGACAGAACATTAACCACGTAATAAATACACAAAAAATTACCAAACTTATATATTAATACCTTATACTTATCAATATCATTGATAATTATAATGAGACCGAGTTTTGCAAATTTTTATGGTAAATTAAGCTCATTAACCCGAAGTACAACTCTTGAGACACATTCAATCCATCAAAAACTATCACTCAAAAAATTTATAAGCATATTTCAACTATCTCAGTAGAATGAGTAAATATCTTTCTAATGATTACATTAGTTTTCTTTTGTATGAAAATTCATTGTGATATTAATATCTTGAAATTTAATTAATAAGTTCACCAAAGTCACGTGACCAAAATTATTCCTAGTATCATTGATCTTATGTTTTGTGAAACCTAAATTCATGTTGTATTCTTTGTGTATATTTATAATGCAAAACTATATATCAGTATCTAGAATAATTTGGTGAAATGATAAGGATATCCATGGTCTTTTCTAAGGACAATGCTGGTTAAAGAACTATACAACAAGTATAATACAACTGCATTGATCAATACCAATAGGGATTTAATGTATGCATTTTTAATTAAGCTTTTTTCATTGACATTATAACTTCCAATGTAAGTCAACAGTAATACTGCTGCTGCCAACAGAGCATAATTAGCAGCCACAAGGAAAGTTTCAATACCAAATTGATAATGTTGACCACCACTAATTACAACCAAACCACCTTTATCATCCTTTGCAATAAAAGGAACTGCATTTTGAATAGTATATTGATATCCACAAGTGAATAAAAGAACAACAGCGATGGCGAGTAAACTTACAATTGTTTTCTTCTTGGTACCTGTAAGTTTACTTGGACCTTTCTTTCTAATTATCACAATTACAGAAAATGTAATGATAAAAGTTTTAACAAATTTAAATAATGGATTTTGTTCTCTAATTAAAATTGATCTTTGTAAATGATCAGTTAAAAATTTACCAAATTCTAAAGCTTGTTCATCTCTAGAAACTTGAGGAACTTTGAATTGAAGATGAGCATCTTCAAATATTTTATTTGGATTTCCATACTCTGCTGATAAATTAGGAGCAATTAACCAAATATGTGGAACAGTTTGTAATCCAACCATGCCAAAAATTTTCCCATTTTTAGGATCATTCAAATCAATATTAATAAAAGTCAATAAATGAGAATCCAAATAATCCTGAAACCAAGATTTTGAAACTAAAGAAATAAATTCATAAACATTTGAACATTGACTACAACCATGGGATGGATCAGTGGAAGTAAATATTAGAACTGTGTAATAATCCCTTGGACCATCAAGAATAGAAAGATCACTGTTGTGAATGTCGATAATGAAATTTTCACTTTCTTTAGCCAATTCAGTTAATTTGACGGCATTTGGTGACGCACATAATGAAAACGGAAGTAATAGCAAATATGCTAAAACTAATTGAATTAAATGCATCGGGTTTGTTGGACGATACTCTAATTCAATGTGTTGTTTTGTCGGTGGTTTCTTTCTTTCTTTCTTTTTTTTTTTTTTCGTTTCAGTAAACATTTGTTCACTCGTGTTCTCCTTCGATATTATCCGCGATGCTGAAATTAATACGGCATTAGGTCTATATTGTCTATAAAACATGTTACTGTCTAGTCATCTTCTACAAAATCCTCTTCTTCATCTCTGTTTATAATAAGGAAACCAATGGTGACGATTGAAGCTCCAAATATATACAACATGTTCAATTCGAATTCTTTGAAAACCCAGTCACCGACCATGGCTAATGGAATTGTCATTGATAACCCAACAGTTACTGTCAACGGACTAGTTAATAATACAGCGTTACACCAGCAGAAATCACTGACAAATGTAATGGCAGCGTTGGAAAAAATAAGCCAGGTCACACTGGATGTAGGTGGAGCTTCAAATTTTTCAATTTCAAGATAATGTAATGCAATCAATAATGGCCATAAAAAGACTAAACAGAATAACCCAACAAATCCAAAGAATAAATGGGTATTCAAATTTCTTTCTTTCTTTGAGTTTGGAACAGTAATCTTAAGTTTCAAAAGAATGGTGTACACACCATAAAGTAAAGCCCCAGATAAAGCAAGGATATTACCCCAGAATATAATCCAAGCAGACTTATCATTATTTGGATTATTTTCATCTGTGTCAGCTTTGGTAACAATCATGACCCCGGCAAAACTCAAAAGGATACCCATTATTTTGTTTTGGTTGATTCTTTCAACGGCTGCCATGAATCCAATAATCAAAGTGAAGAAAGATGATGTAGAAGATAAAATTGTTTGTGAAGCTACTGATGTATAGGATAATGAAGCATTTGTAACAAAATTTGCAGAAAACCACAATACAATAAATTGAAAAGATAATTTTGCTGTTTCATAAATATTAACATTCAAATCCTCTTGAGGTATACTTGAATCACTAACTTCCAATGTTTGATCTTCTAAATCATTTAAACTATCTCCTGAACCATAATTGCGAATCAATGGCTGTTCGGTCTTATCAACGAGCTTGCTGTAATGATATTCTTCAAGAAACTTATCCCAAAATTGGGCCAAAGATAACTTTTCAATTCTCAAGTAAGGGATCAAGTAAAAACAAAAACAACTAGTGTTTATATAAGTGATCAAGAATGGTTTTCTATAAGTATCACCTTCAACGACTGCATTCACTAGGAAACTGGACAGCACCCAAAATATCACAACCGCAGCAAGGTTTATTAGTCCAAGAATCCATTTTTGTCTAGGATGTAGTGTATTATCTGGTATGAAAAATGCACGGAAATATTTCAATATCGATAGTCTTATATTGGTAGCAGTTGACATGGGTGATGATAATAATGGCAATGAATTGTGTTTTTAAAACAAGAATGGGAGTCAGAGTATTAGAAGAAGTAAGGATAGAAAGAAAAAACTGTGGATCTTTAGATGGGATTTTCTTTTGATGCCAAACGAGTCAAACAAAAAATAAAAATAAAATCTCTTCCCACTGATAAACGAAACAGGAAAGAGAAAAATTTTCTTTGCTTTTCTTTTCTTTACGTTACTAATTTTTTTTTTTGGGTCCGTGCTATGCTGCGCTGTGCTGTGCTGTGCGCCGAACGGAACGTGCGTTTTGGCCCCGAACAAACTCGTACAGTGATGAAATGAGAAAGAAGAAAGAGAAATGAAAATTTCGTCATCACCACACGCGATTCCAAAATCAAGTTTTTGTCATCATCAACTATGCCGCCTAAAGTGTATGTCGTTTTTCTTTTACATTAGATATAGATATCTTGATAAGTTAATCTAACTAACATGATGCCAATAGAAAAGTAGAAAAATCATTCAAATATTCAAGAAGCTCAACTAGTAATTTCAAGTTTGGTGCCCATGTTGGAATGGCGGGAGGTATTTCAAATGCTGTGACCAATGCTATGGATATTGGCGCTAATAGTTTTGCATTATTCCTTAAATCACCAAGAAAATGGGAATCGCCTCCGATTAAACCAGAAGAAGTGAAAAAATTTCACGAATTATGTGAAAAACACAAGTACAATCCAAGAACTGACATTTTACCCCACGGTTCGTATTTACTAAATTTGGGTAATCCTGATCCAGAAAAGGAAGAAAAAGCATATGGTGCATTCTTGGATGACTTGAAAAGATGTGAATTGTTAAATATTGGGTTGTATAATTTCCATCCTGGTTCCAGTTTAGATAGTGATCATAGAGAAGCGTTAGAACGTTTGGCCAAGAATATCAATCGTGCTATAGAGGAAACCGAGTTTGTTAAAATTGTTATTGAAAATATGTCAGGTCGTGGTAATTTGATTGGGAACAATTTACAAGATATTAAGGACGTTATTGACATGGTGGAGAATAAATCAAGAGTGGGTGTTTGCTTAGATACTTGTCATTCCTTTGCTTCTGGTTATGATATTTCCGATGAGGACAAATTTTATAAATTTTTAAAGCATTTCGATGATATAATTGGTGCTGAGTATTTATCAGCAATCCATTTGAACGACTCAAAATCTCCATTGAATTCCAGTCGTGATTTACATCAAAAACTTGGGTATGGTTTCTTGGGATTGGAAGTTTTCAGAGTTATTGCCAATTGTGAAAGATTGAAAAACATTCCTATTATTTTAGAGACTCCTGTTGAAAAAGATGATTCTGTATATGGCGAAGAAATCAAATTATTGGAATGGTTAGAAGGTAGAAAAGTTGATGATGAAGAGTTTATTGCTAAAAAAGAAGAACTTTCCAAATTGGGTAGCAAAGAACGTGCTGAACATTTGAAACAATTTGAATCCAAGGTTGCCAAAACACAGAAGAAGGACAATAAGAAGAAACGTTCATCTGATGGCAACGATATTACAAGTATGATTAAGAAAAAGAAGTAAACTAGTAGATATATTTTTTATACTGATACACGACTTTGGTTTAAGAGACCACCATTGATCCCACCATACTCTTAAATGTTCCGCGGTTTATTCATATTATGGTTTATTATATATTTGATGGTAAGAACTGGATATGGAGACATGGCGGAATACTATTCCTAGAATTATTTTGTTCCTGGTTGAATTGTGGATTTGTAGAGATAGGAAACGTGACACCAAACTTTAATTATTCAATTTACACGACTATCAATGGTAATCCAAAAGTCGATAATAATTTGCTGCTACTATTTGAATCAATTGAATTAGTCAAACTATAAACTGGAGAATTATTTTTATGTGAAAAGGTATTCAAAGTATAAAGAAACTAGGAGATTGTAATATAAATAACATCTTTAGTGGATTATCTATTTGATTCTTGGAAATCACGCATTCTAAAAGTATGTTTTGAAAATACAATTTATGGTAAGTGATAAATTGAAATTTCCATTGAACAAGATCATACACTGGACAACTGTATTAAATACATCTTGAAACTAAAATAATCAGCACAAACAACGGTTTCAATAATTGTGTATATATCCAAACACGAGTGTTTGGTAGTGCGATTTGTTCACATTGGGAGAGAAAAATCTTTCTCAGCGTAAAGAAGAGAAGAAGAAAAAGAAGAAGAAGAAGAAGAAAAAAAAAAAACAGTCTGTATAGGAGAATCACTGTAACTTGATAGTTGATTATCATTAAATCACATAAATACCAAATCATCAATCATTCAAATGTTTGGAGGATCTTCGACTGGATTTGGAGGATTTGGATCTAATTCAACAACAACCAATTCGCCTTTCGGCGGAGTTGGTGCTTCATCGACCAATACTGGAACATCACCATTTGGTGCTTCAAACACATCAACAAGTGGGGGTATCTTTGGTAATGCAGGCAATTCTTCTACAGGTTTTGGTAATACTAGTGCATTTGGATCTAATACCAATACCAATACCACTCTGGCGTTTGGAAGTAACACTGGTGGTGGCCTTTTTGGATCGTCTAATAACAATGCATCATCATCACCATTTGGCCAACAAAATCAACAACAACAACAAAATTCTGCATTTGGTACAGCAAACAATACCACATCAGCATTTGGATCATCCAATACCGGTGGTGGCTTATTTGGAAGTAAACCAGCAACTTCTACTTTTGGAGGATTTGGTGCAGCTGGAGGAAATACTTCATCACCTTTTGGTGCATCAACCACAAACGCCTTTGGTGGAAGTGCAGCATCTGATCCAAATACCAACAATGGTACTGCTGTAAAACCATTCAGTGCTTATACTGAAAAGGATTCTGCTAATATGACCAATATTTTCCAAAACATTTGTTGTATGCCAGAATATAAAAATTTTTCTTTTGAAGAATTGAGATTGAAAGATTATGAACAAGGAAGAAGATTCCCACCTGCCGGTGCTAATGCTAGTACTGGATTTGGTAATACAGCCGGTGCTTCTACTGGAGGATTTGGATTTGGTTCATCAGGAAACACTGGTTTTGGTGGAACTTCAGGAACCTCGCCATTTGGAGGGGCTTCCAATACCGCTGGTGGTTCTGCATTTGGCTCTGCATTTGGTAGTAAACCAGCTGGTGCTTCACCATTTGGTGGTGCTTCAACTACTACTGGTGGTGCATTTGGGGCTAATAACCAAAATCAATCACCATTTGGTTCAAGTAACACTGGAAATGCTTTTGGTGGAGGTGCGACCAGCACTTTTGGTAGCTCAGGTACTAGTGCGTTTGGTAAACCTTCCACTGGTTTTGGTGCTTCAACAGGAGGGGCATTTGGATCATCTAACACCGGTGGTGGATTATTTGGTAGTGGAGGGGGCAATACAACCGGTGGTGCCTTTGGACAACAATCTTCTGGATTTGGCGCTGGTAACAATAACAATTCCCCATTTGGACAAAGCAATACTGGTGCATTTGGTGCTGCTAACAATAATTCACCATTTGGTCAACAAAATCAACAACAGCAACAAAGTGGTGGTGGGTTATTTGGAGGTTCAGGTGGTAATACCGCATTTGGATCTAATACTGGTGGATCTGCATTTGGAGGTGGTACCGGATTTGGATCAGGTACAAGTACATTTGGACAACAGAACAATACTGCATTTGGTGCTAATAAACCAGCAACAGGGTTTGGTTCAACTACATCAGGGGGTTTATTTGGTCAACAAAGTGGTGCCTCAAATACTGGTGGTTTATTTGGACAACAAAATCAAAATCAAAATCAACAGCAACAAGGTGGGGGATTATTTGGTGCTAAACCAACAGGAACCTCGATGTTTGGCCAAAGCAATGCCAATACAGGAGGTATTTTTGGTCAACAAAACCAACAACAACCACAACAAAGTGGAGGATTATTCGGTAGCAAACCTGCTACAGGAGGATTATTTGGAGGCCAACAGGCTAATCAACAACAATCAGGAGGATTATTTGGTCAACAAAATCAACAACAACAACAAGCTGGAGGGGGTTTGTTTGGAGCTAAACCAGCTACAGGTGGTGCTACAGGTGGGGGTTTATTTGGAGCCAAACCAGCCACTGGAGGTTTGTTTGGGGGACAACAAAACCAACAACAGCCACAACAAGGTGGTGGGTTGTTTGGAGCTAAACCAGCAACTACTTTAGGTGGAGGTACAACTAGCGGTGGATTGTTTGGTAATACCCAGCAACAATCTACAACCGGTGGTGGATTATTTGGAGGTGGTGCATCATCTACCTTAGGAGGATCTTCTACTACTGGAGGTGGGTTATTTGGTGCTAAACCTGCTACAACTTTTGGAAGTGGTGGTGCTACAGGAGGTGGTTTATTTGGAGGTGCTACTACATTACAACAACCTCAACAAGTACAACAAACATTGGCCAATATTAATTCTCAAAACCCATACGGTAACAATCCGCTTTTCCAATCAATTACTGGCGGCTCAACACAAGCACAACAAACCAACAATGTCCCACAAGCTAAATTAATTAGAGCAGCTACACCAGTAAAGAAGTCTGTTACATTGGGTAGCACATCACAAAAGATCACCCCATTATTCAAGGTTAGTGCATTACCATCAAAGAAGCCCATCGAAACAGTTCAAGATGAAGTTTTTAAGAAGAAAACAGATAGTTTATTTTCTAGTGCTACTGACCAAGCCATTATCAGCAGTGAAATTTTCAAACCAAAGGAAAGTTTTAAGAATTTGGTATTGGATAAATCCAATGCTCCTACTGGGTTATTGCCAAACCAACCATATAGTCCAAGTAAACCAGTTACTTTTGTTTTAGATAAATCAGAAAGACCAGAAATTGCATTGTCATCTACTCCTGAAGCAGTTTCTAGAGAAGAGAAGGAAATTATTAAAGAACAAACTCCAGACGGAGTTAAAGACGTTGAAGAAGTTGTTAATAAGGAAGGTTACTGGATGTCACCATCAATTTCAGAATTGAAGAAGAAATCACTTGTTGAATTGAAATCAATCAAAGGTTTGAAAATAGGAAGAAAGAATTATGGTGAATTAGAATTTATTGAACCAGTTGATTTATCATCAATGGTTAATTTTGAAGATATTTTAGGTAAATTGATTATATTTTGCGATCACAATTGTATTATATACCCTGATGATAATAAACCTAAACCAGGAGAAGGATTGAATTTACCAGCCAAAATTACATTGGAGGGATGTTATCCAACTAATAGAGCAGACAAATTACCAATAGTTGATCCAAAGAGTGAAGCTGTTAAAGCTCATGTTGAAGTATTGAAAACTATGGAAGGTATGAAATTTATTAGTTATGATCCTACAAATGGTAATTGGACTTTTGAAGTTAAAGAAGTTGATTAAGGGAGGTATTCCTAAGTGGAATGATATCCATTAAATATAAATAAGAAGTGTATAGAGAGATATTCACTTTGTATAATAGTATTGTTAGTATAATTATTTTTTTTTATTCATAAGTTTTGCATATTGCCATTTGAATTGTAGTACCGAGCACGTGAACCGTTGGTAGTTATTTTGTGTTTGATTTGATGTCATACTAACATTTCCACATCATCACCACGGCGCGTTCCATGAGAATTTCTTCATTTCCCCTCCTGTTACGTTACTTACACAGAATTGAAAGAAAAAGAAAAAGGAAAAGAAAACATAAACAAACAAACGGAAGAAGTCAAAACTAAAATTAATAAAGGATATGAATTAGGTAGAGACTAAATTGATAGATTATACATGAAGATTGATTGATTCCAATTGGAATTGCGAGGAAAAAAAAGAAATAAAGGGGGATTTAATTTATGATGATCCAATAAGTAGAAAGAAAGGAGGGGAGGCGGGGGGAAGGAAGAGATTTATTAGTTGAATTAAAGATGAGATTGAACAATAAGATGATTAGATTTTGAACAAAATAATTAAATGAATTTTAAATGATTCTGAGACATAAATAGCATTGAATATAACCATTATTGGGGCGTTTTTATTTTTATACATTTATTTATAGTATTTGTATGTGTGTATGTGTGAATGGAATTTCTTTGAAAAATAGGACAAAATTAAGATGGACAAAATTATTATTCTTATTCTTGGGAGTATAAGAAAGAATAAGAGAAAAAAAAAATACTAAATACTTTTATGGAATAATGATGAATACAATTATAATTATTTATGATTTCTATTTATATATTCTATTAAATTCATTACAATTGTGTTAAGTGTATAATTTTAGAAAAAGTGTTCTTGTTGTATTGAGAGAAAAAGTGAAATTTCGCAGCCATATATATAATGATCAAGTATGATTTGACCATTAAATGTTCTTTCTTATAAATATTAAGAATATTGACACATAATTTAACCTTTATATGATTGTAACATCAATATTTAATGCAGAAAACCTAATTATTGTGTTTTAATTAATTTACTGAATTTTAGGTTTGCATCAAACCATTAATTGTAATCCAAATGCTGTAAAAGAAATAAAAAAACATAACCATATCAAAATTTGTCACCTTAACCATACTGTTGAAAACCAGTAGTATACTTTTGTAATAGAAATTACATCTTTATTAGATGCAATATTGTTAGATATATTACTTTCTGGGTCGAAATGTGTAGTTCTAATAACAATATAAGAATTGATAAATAATATCACTATACAATGTAGATAGTTTAGTTAGTCTAAAAATCCATACCACTAGGCAATTTCTATGAAGTTTATTAATAACTCAAGAGGGATGTACCATTAGTAACACTTAAGGAAAGAAGTATTATTGAATATATTTGGTTTTTCTCAATTTCATGATTTTGTATCCAAGGATGATTCAAGAGAAATATTCATTGCTTTAATGAATTACAATATACAAGATTTGAATTTCCCAATGAAAATAACTACCGGTGTATTGAAGATTATTATCATTAGACGGCATAGACAAAAATAACTACAGGCTGAATTAGGAATGAAATAGTCCGATTATGTATTATTGGGTGTAGTGACAAATAAATTTGTCTGTACATTGTGTTTAATACGAGAAATGGAATGATTTTGTACCACGACGTACGACCAATAAGGCGGTGGGGAGAAAAAAATGGGGAGAAGGGGAGGGGGGAAGAGAGAGAGAGCAGAATACACAAACATTACACATAAAGAAAAGAAAAGGAGAAAAAAAATTGCCCGATTTTAAATGTAGTTTGAATATAAAATTTAAATTATAAAATTTAAATTAGTTTTATAGGTCAGAATTGTTTGGGTAGTTTCACACACACACGAGTGTAACAATAGGAGACTCGGAAACAAAAGAAATATTATCAGATGTAAATTCTATAAAGGGTGTCCATTAACTATAACAAAAGAACAATAAAGGCAGGACGTTTGTTATATATATATATATATATATACATGTAAATATGAAATATGTACCACACAATTAAAAAAGGAAGTTAAAGTACAATACAGATCGAACGTATGTGTTGTTCAATTAATCCGACTCAACAAAATAACTCTGTTTAATTTAATTATTGGTTGATAATTGCGTGTGTGTGTAAGTGTGTGTGGGTGTGGTCGTGTACAAACCAGAATTGCAATCACAACAACTAAAAACGTAAACAAAATTGATTATTAGGCAAACGTACACGCCCATAACCCACACACTAATAATAATTTATACGCATGAGAAATTGCTTTCATCATTAACAACATCACAACAATAAACACCCACAACAAATTTTCTTTTTATCTTATCTTTTATTCATTTATTTATTTATAAATTCCTTCCTTTCTTTCATTTTAATATCTTTACTCTCTGTCTTTTTTTATTATTATTATTAAAAAGAAAAGGTTTAGAATTACTATTAAACTATTTTAGCTGGTTTTTTATAATATCTTATTTCTTTTTTGTTTACTTTTGAATCAACAAATATGTCATTTGCTTATGCTACACTTTTGATTGGTGAATCATATTTACCAGGTGTTCTAACATTGGGTCAAAAATTAAAACAATTGGAAACAAATCATAAATTATTGATTTTATTAGATACTAGTAGCATTTCATCAGATAATATTGCATTAATTGAATCAATTTATGATGAAATTATTCCAATTGATAATGAAATCATTAAATCTCCATTAGAAAAATTAGTTGATCAATTAAATAGATCAGAATTATCAATTACTTATTCAAAATTATTATTATGGAATTTAACTAACTATGATTCAATTGTTTATTTAGATTCAGATGTTTTACCAATGATTAATTTTGATGATATTTTTGAAAATTATCCAATTGAATCAAATCAAATTGCTGCTTCTCCAGATTCAGGTTGGCCAGATATTTTTAATTCCGGTGTATTTAAATTGAAACCAAATAAAGAAATTTTCAATAAATTAATTGATTTTACCAAAGATTCAAATAATTCATTTGATGGTGCTGATCAAGGTTTATTAAATGAATTTTTCAATTTAAATTGGATAAGATTACCTTATTTGTATAATGTCACTCCAAATTATCGTCATGATTATCAATATTTACCAGCATTTAATAGATTTTTCAAAGATATTAAAATTTTACATTATATTGGTAATGTTAAACCATGGCACTATGATAGTATTTTATCAAGTGATTTAGCTAATTTTCATCAATTTTGGTGGAATGATTTTAACAATTTCTTTGGTAAAGATGCTCATTTGAAATATAAATTATTGAATTTACCAAGAGGTGAAGCAAGAAATTTACAATTCAATAAAACTAAAAATGCGTGGGAAGCTAATGATGAAGATGATGTATCCGATGATAAACATAAGAAACAAGATGAAGATGATGAAGATGAATATGTACAACAACAACCAATTTTCCCATGGGAACATCGGGAAGATAAAGTTCAACCTCAACGTATTTTTAAAAAATCAGCACCTAAAGAAGAAGAAGAAATTAAAGCTGAATTAATTGATGAAGAAATGGCTAAAAATATTGAAGCTTTTAAAGATGTTGAAATTGTTGATAAATTACAAAGACAAAAAGATGTCAAGAAAAGTCCTCCATTACTGAAAAGTTATGGATTTGATAAATCATCTTCTGATAAATCAAATTTCAATCCTGATAAATCTTTAGCAGAAGTTTCTAAATTACCATTTAAATTTTATTCCCAAGCTAAAGCCAAAAAGGAAGAAAAAGAAGAATAGACCTATTTTCTCTAATTTTAGATTGTATCTATAGATATTATTACCCTGTTGATTAATTTGTTTTTTTATTGTTTTGTTTTGTTTAGTGTTATAGTACTAATATTAATTATATATTCTTGTGATTTAACCTCGAGGAGTTTTAACTTTTAGTTAAACATGATAAAAAGAAAAAGGGATCAAAGGGGGCTTTGTTATCATTGCAGTATGAAAGGGAAATTATTACCGAGATAAAGCAAGAAAAAAAGAAATGCCATCACCAGGAATCGAACCTGGGTCTAGTCGGATTTGTTGTGTTATTGCTCCACAACGACTCGTACTGACCACTATACTATGATGGCGTATTTGTTGACACTCCAAAATTGTCAGGATTTCACATTAATCACGGTATACAAATATAACTGGAGGATTCGTAGCGTGTTTGGATAGGAAGTTCAATCCATGGTTTGATTTTATTAAACAATATGTAAAATACCTTATGAAAAATGATAATTCCGTACTCATGGAATATTTATTGTGATGTGTTATTCTATTGGTTGGTATGACTCTATATGATGTTGATTCACGTTGTTGAAGTGTTGAGTACTTCATACGTTTTTTCTTTTTTTGTTACATATTAGTTTATCAAATTGATTTACACATCAATAGATTTTCCTATGAACAAATTAATCCATATAACATCAAGATACAAGAATAACCGGATTTTTAAGCAATCTATTATTGATCATATGAAGAGGGATTTTTTATTTGTTATAAAATTTGGCAATTATTTCCCAGTAAAAAACAAAACAGAAAAAAGCAAAAAATGTACGATTACTTGAAATTCTTTTTAAACAATATGACATATTCTAAGATACGTATAATAACCATTCTAGAATAAACTTCAACTTGAAACTAGTAATGAAATTTTTTTTGATAGAATCATGTTGGTTGTCTTATTTTTTACCGCCCATTTATTCATTAAATCAGAATATTATCACATAATTCTTCTCCTATTTTTACTACTTGTCTCATATTTTGCTATTGTTTTTTTTTGCATCTTGATTAATTAAATGGACATATTTCCGATGTGGAGAGATACACACACACACACACACACAAAAGAAGAATATTTGAACAAGGGATGGACTTTAACATAAACATTGGATGACATGGATCATTTGGTGATTATTTCGTCTAGATTCATTTAGTGAGTATGTAGCTTACAAATGGAAGTAGATTCCATTAAAAATAATAGTCTTTTATATTTTGCAGTTAATTTATACTTAACATTGAAAAATAGTTAACTTTTAATAATTACCCAAACTTCTAACAAGAATAAATAACCAATGGAAGATCCAAGTTTATCTAGTTGCTTTGAAAATAATAATTATCCGTTGATGAGATGAAGTAATAACAACAAGATAATAATATTATTTCACAACTAGATATTGGATCAATATTTGTTATAATACTTATTCCAATAGAATCTGTTAATGGAAAGTCGGAGTTTATGGAAAAAATTAAACCTGAAATTGGTTGTTAATAATAATAATAATAATAATATTCTCATCATCTTGTTCTTCCACTTCTTCTTCTTCTTCTTCTTCTTGTTGTTCTCCTATTTCTTCGGGGATTTATTAATCGATTTACATACAGTTGTGAAATTTATCCACAAAGATTATTATTGTAATAATAAATATATATGCATAATGAGTTATTACTAAATTATTCTAGAAGACTAAAAAGCAAAATTGTTCAATGTTCCTATTCAATTAAATCCTTTCAAAATTCTTATTTAATATTATTATAATCTTTCTCTCTGTGAATAAGATGAACAATTGAAAACAACATGATATCTGTGAAATTCCCTAAACTATCTACTTGACTACTAGTAGTTATTCGAATGAAATTAATCTCTTCTAACCGCCATTGGTTATATCGATATTTGTTGTACTTTAATCATCTTGCATTTACGTAAGCTTTAATCCAAAAAAAAAATTCGTAGGTGCTTTTTCAAGGGAAGTTAAAGAAAGGGTCAATTTTGCAATTTAATTTAATACTGTGTGTTTCTTTATTTTCTTTCTAACGTTTCATGGACAATTGATTAAAGGAAAATCATCTATTGTTTTCAGTTAATACATGAACACCACGCCACTCTTAACTTAAAAAAGCAAAACTTAAAATTACAATCAATCAATTAAAGACAAGAATTATATATTTGTGAATAATATGGGTTCATCACTTCGGAAACAAACGGAGAAGGAGACCAAAAGATAACTAAAAAGAAAGATAACAAAAGTGCCAATAGTTAATATGATGAGTATTCCCGAAGGGAATAAGAAGGAGAAGAAAGAGAAAAGGGATACTTGCTCTATTAGACTTGGATTTAGAATTAGAGTGTACTTTTGAAAAATGTGTCTATAGTTGCTGGCAAGATTACCCCTTAAATTTTTTTTTGTCTTTTTTTTTTGCAATTATTTCGAAGAAAGTATGAAATAATAATAATTAAAATTATTATTAATCAACAATCATCTTTTCTAGAACTTCTTTTCTTCACGCCTCCAGATTCAACTCAACGGTTAGAATAACTGTAGTTTCAAGTGTTGATAATAATAATTATTTATGAATCTTTAAAGTTACGATTATTATTTAGTTATTGTTGTAGTTCCTATTTCTCCACGGCGATTTTCAATTTCTCAATTTTTGCTTTATTTTCACCCATGCACATAACCATATAAAGACACACTTGTGTACATGATATTGCTATAGAAGTAATGGATAATTGGATATGAAGTATAAACTATGCATTAGATTCTTATTTATTTGTTTGTTTGTTTGTTGAATCGGATCGGAATCAGCCTCAACAGTCCCCTCTTCTTTCTCGTCATCATCTTGATTATTTCCTAATTCAGTGATTGAGTATAACCACCAATGATTGATTTTTGAAATAGTAAATGTACTACGATGCAAGATTGATTAAAGAGCAAAAGCAAAAAAAAAAGGGAAGGAAACTTTAGGATAAAAACAAAAGTGCTACTAACCTAGATAGGTTACACATAATGGAGATAGTTTACATTACAACTATCAACAACACCTTTTGATGTTGTTGACAAAATTGGTGTGTAGTTGTTAGGGGAAGATTCTGGATTTAAAGTGAAACATTCTTCGTACTATGAAAATGCATAAAATAATAATCACTATTAAAACAAAAGAATGAAGAATGAATAATGAAGAATGCAAGTGAACTTTTGTGAATAACAATATAAGAAAAAAAAAATAATATAAGCATTACAGGCAATATAAAGAAAAACAGGAAATTTAAACATCAAGATGATCTCACAAAACAAAAGACAAGTCGAAAGCCAACAATTGATTAGTAATCGACATACGCATGTACACTCCATGGGGTAGATAGGCAGTAGGGAGAATAGGCGGTAAGAAGAAAGGACAATCGTCAATGAAATACAATCTTATTCTTTTCATTTGTGTATTAGAATGACGTAGTGCTTTATTCTTATTCAACTAAAAAAGAAAAAACATAAATGAACAACTTGATTCACTTCAAAATTTTAAAAAAGTTTATACTAAGACACAAGGGATATTTTTAAAATTAATGAATAATATTCGTAAATTGCTACAACCATCAATAATATATAATATTACCTCACTATTAATCCAAGTAGATACGATTTCAAACAAGATGATGATTAGGTGTAATTTAATGTATGATTTCATTGAAATAGTAAGTTCGATGTTGTTTCAGAAGATGTGTGGTCCCTAAGAGTAGTGATTTACGTTTTATTTTAGTTGATTTGTTATTGTTGGTGACTTGAAATTAACGAATAGTAATGCTTTCCTTTTGTTTAATTATGTGTATCATACAATATTATTTTCATGTTTCATAACCATGCATGTAAGATGACTTAAACGTATTGAAGTGTAATGAGAAATAAAATAACAACAACAAAAACAACAATAACGACTAAAACAATTATGTGTAAGTCACATACACACACACACGAACACTCCCACTCTGTGGAGTGAGTGTGGGTTTAGTGCATTTCCATATTTGACACATTTTACAGTTACTTGGTGAGGATGGATACAAATTAGGGAGAGTCAATATCACACACATAAACACATTACCCCTCATGTGTATATGTATATATATGTGTGTGTGTGTTGAGTGTTGGGTCATGCCATATACTTGTGTGTGTTTAATCCCCAACATAACTTGTTAATTATTTCTTAATTTATACATCTTTTTATTAAAGAAACGGCTATCATTCTAAGATTGGAGAATAATGGATAAAGATTATTATTATTATCATTATTATTAACTTCTGGTTGATGGATATATGTATTTATTATAAAGTATCATAGATCTTATTAAGCATAAATATGATATCTGTTGAATTCTTTAAAGAAACAAATGAAAAAGAAATGGAGATGACCCATGCTATCTTTAGAATAATAATTAATAAAGATAAACTCTTGAACTTCTCATTATTACTCGTTACATGGAATTATAATAATTAATAATAATAAAGTTTTCAAACTCGGCGAAATCATCATAAATTCCACCGTTCTTCGGAGGAATTTCAAGCAAATGTCAAACATTAATAATGTTTGGGATGGAATGGCATGGGATGTAGGATTTTGTGCTTTTAAAATGGTAAGCCCCATAAAATGTTGGTATTTTTCCGTGCTAGAAAGGGAAAAGGAAGGTAAATTCATTTAAGAGTCCTTACATTTTACATAAAACCTTGTTGATGATCAATTGGCTTCAATAAACATCGTCAATTATCAACTAACATTTCTTTTTTGACTTTTTGCAATAAATGATACGATTATAGAAATTTCTGATCCATACGTGTGTTATTCACGGTGTACGTAAGTGACGACATCTTTCCAAGAGTAAGATCATCAATATCTGCCACGTAAACCATTGAAAGTGAAAATTGGATGTTACTATTATTATAATTACTATTATTATTATTTTAGTAGTGATTGGAATTTATTATTTTAGTATCTGCATCCTTTCAAATCTCAAATTGGGTGAATAATTTATTTGCTCATATTATTTCACAAGAGTAAAATAAGAAATAACCAAAGACCAGGTAATACCGACACTACGCGATTACCACCTAGTGGATTCTAATCACCACATGATAACCAAGGACTAAACCTCAAGTGAATCAAAATTCAATGTATGTTTTATTGTTGTGTAATAGAAACAAGGATATCTTCATACATACATTATTCTATAATCCATAGTCATCTCCCATTTTCATTTGAACAATGCAAATTTTTAAACAACAGCCATGAAAAGAAATGGGAACAAATTATAATATTATACATGTCTACTCACGTATCTACACGTATCATACACGGGTTTGTGAATTCAACGCTTTCATTCATTCCCTATGGATTTTTGGGCACATTATCAATTTTTGTACTCCCACTTAAAAAACAAAAACAAAAATTGGATCGAGTTCTAGTTAAGTAACTCAAAGCAAGAACCAAAAACCCAAGCCAACTATTTCTGAAAGTGGAACAAAGAAAACAACATGGCCAATATATATTGGTTTAGTATTGGTGACTTCGGTTTAAAAATAACAACCTTATTGATTAAATAGGCAATATTATTAAACAAAAGAAGACTCAATGTGAAGTAGAAGAAAGAGTAATAAAGTTTTTAACGGCTTAAATGAGTACAATCTAAAAAGAATACAGTATTAGACGAGATATACATCGAATGTTGGGGTGTTTTAATTTCGAATTTTATAAACTATTGCCGATATTACTCTTGATATACCAATACGCTCGATCTCCCCTTACTTTGTAAACTAAAAACTATTCTATTATAAAATTGCATCGGATTATTATGTGTGTATTTGATTGCGAAAAATATTCTATGCAAACCAGATTTCCCAACAAAGGGAATCAATGGTTCCAACAAGTGAAAGAAAGAATCAACCGTGTTTAATTATTACACATTCATGTCGTACAATCACGTACAATTAGTTTAGTTGCAAAAATATGAAAAAGAACCATCAAAAATTATTATGTAGTTGGATAAATAATAATAGTAAAAGAAAACTTTTCGTGACTTAATAATACTATTATTATTATTATTATTATTATTATTACTATGTAAAGCCATATACATATATATATATAGTATGATTCTATGTATCGTATAAAATTCTTTTATTCTCCGTGATGAATATAATAAAACACGGATTTGTAATACCCAGGAAACTACATCATAATACATGATGTGAAAAGAAGAAGAAGAAGAAGAAGAAGAAGTACAAAAACAAGGCTTAATTTAATTAAGTATAATTTAACATAATATGACATGACATTAAAAGACATATACACACACACACACGCCGATGATCCGACTAAATTTTCCTATTTTCAAAAGGATTAATTCGTAAGCGTTGGAAATGGGAATCCACATGAAATTTAAGTACGTCTTTCTTTTGTTCCAACATCTAAAAGTAACAAACAATAGGAAAAGTACTTGTTTTAGTTTAACATGCACAAAACAAATAAAGGTGCATACTTTATGCATATGCACTAAGATGTAAAACCACCTATGTTAAACATATAAAAGCTACATTGTTCCTTTGAAAACGGGCTCACGTTTTTGTCTAGAAAAGTAATGACTCACCGCAATTCTGATGTAATTCTTGGTTGGACAAATTTCCGGGTGATGATTACGATGGTGATACTGCTGACCAATAAGACACACCCATTTAATTCAAGCGCTATTTGAATATCAACACGAACGATGATTCATGAAACAGAATATGTAATATTGATTAAATGATATTTTATTTGTGAACACCATAGACATAAACCTTAAGCCCATTCGTGAGTTATAATAATATTATATTCGGAACACTCAAAAAATAATAAAAGTTAGGTTATACATTAGGCGGCTAATTTTGTACGTGCTTTTGTTGATAGTTTATTATAACCCAAGATTAAATGTACAGTGCATCCCACCGAGCTAAGTAATTGTCCTAGAAATAATCAGCATGTAAGAGATGCTAATAATTGACCATCCCGAAATAGGTGAAAATCAATTCATTATCTGCTCTTTTCTTTTCTTTTCTTCAATTTGTCTACTTATATTTTCATCAATTCTAGATACTCCCAAATTACCAAATTTATCACTTGTTAAAATAGTATCAGAATCAATTGGAAACATAGAAATAACTTGTCGTTTAATTATATCATCTGCAATGGGGATGAATTGATTTTCTAAATTATCAAATTTGGCAAAAACTATTGATGATGAATGAGAATCAGATATGATTATTCGATTTGATTGTGGGATGATTTTGATTATATTTGTTAGGAAATTAATTACCGTTGTTGATTTTTTCAATAATTGTTTTTGACCCAATTCATATAATCTTATGATATTCTTACTTGCTACTAATAGTTTGTTGTGGAAATTGGATACAACTTGTGGGATTTCTTCAATTTCTGTCTTGTGCATAAACTGAAGGGTTTTGTTTTTACTTACTTTAAATGTAAATAAATATGATTTACCATGGGAATTAGGTAAAAATGTCTGATTCGTAGTTATACCAATTATAATATATGGGGAGTTTTTATCAAATTTAACCATTGTTGAAGATACTATACTTTCATTGGATTTAAATTCAATGCTTTGTAAAACTGTATTTAGATCATTAGTTGCAAAAACTTGTAAACAACTACTCCATGATTTTGGTTTTCTTTCATATCCAAATGTTTCATAATGTTCTTCATCAATAGTTTCTTTGATATCCCCATTAATACTACTCTTGTATGGACCTTTGATATTATACTCTGTTTCTGCTACAACTAATCTATCTTCATAAGTTAGCAATTTCCTTGGTGTATATCTTAATTTAGTCTTTGCTATAGTGAAATCTCTCAGAGGATCAAATAATCCTTCATCTTCTTCTGATCCAAGGGTAAATATAATTAAATCATTACCTGAAATTGCCACGATTGCATCACCTCCAATGTCTTCACTCAGAAATGAACAACCATCAATTAATGATACAGAAATGTCTAATAATGGAGTGGTTTTGAATTCATGCTTATAATAATAGCCAATCCAAGATTTGGAAGAAACAGCCAACACCCCAGTGATTTCTTTATTAATTTTCACAATGTTTAACTTGACAGGTTTGGAACCTAGATATTTAATTCTACTATCGGATAATTTCCCATTAATTGGATCAATTTTAATTCTTGCATAAACTCCATTATTCATACCAATATGGACCATTAAATCTTTCCCAAGTTTAATCATCTTAACACTTGAACAATTTGATGATAATGCTTGAATGGATTGAATTTCAAGACAATTTTGCTGTTTCAAAGAAACCACCTGAATTGTTTCATCTGAACATCCAATGATTGCAAATGGACTCTGATGATGATTGTTAGTATGTTCTTCAATAGCTAGAGCTGTTGTTGAACTGGAAAGTTCCAATCTTTCTTGATATTCAATCAATTGATCATCCAAATGATCAATTTCAAAATAGACAACTTCTAAATTGGATAATGCAATTAATACCTGTTGATTATTTGTAGCAGCGTGGGTAATTGTTATACCTGCTGGTGGAAGCCAATCTGTTATTTTCTTCTTTTCACCATTAATTTGTCTTACATGTTTGATACCATTAGTGTAAATTTGCACTACTGAATTCTTCCCCACTTGTTGAACAGCAATAGTTGGTTGATCTAATACAAATTCGGAATCTTCCACATCTTCCACAACTTCGCCAATTGACAACACTAATGTTTTGGAAGACAACGAGGATGAAATAACCAAATATTCATCATTTTCAGATTCAAATGATAATTTTGTGGTAAATATATCAGTTGGTATCACAGGTAATGGAGATTCAACCATGGTGGAAGTGGGAATTCCATGAGTGACTGTTTTCAAATATGAATGAGAAGATAAAGTTACCAATTTAGAGTCTATAGATTTTGCATCTAGGATCGGACTCAATGTTTCCAAAGTATCAATCAATGCCAAGTTTGTCAAACTTTTGAGATCAAATGTTATAACTTTGGTAGGCTTGATCACGCTTTTGTAATCATCGTAATCAGAAGATTTTATAATCAAATCTGTCTCAGTTAATTCATCTCCTAGTTTTTCAAATTGATATAATGAACGATTATTATTCAAAACATTTGCAAATAATAACCCACTTTTGAAAATGTTTAAACTGATACACGGAAGAATAGTATCGAAATAAGTAATGGTAATATCTCTGATGATCTCTCTATCTGAATCATATTCAATAACCAATTTAAATAAATCACCTAAAGTATTTTGAATCAAAACAAAAAACTTTTGCTTCTTTAAAATATGAGTAACATGGTTGACAATTATTGAATCCTCATTCCCCTTTCTTCTAGGTAATGGAAGATAAATTCTTTGTGAGGAGTCGAAGTTTTCATAAAACATCCAGTTCTTACCACATACCATGATACCACCAACAGGTCCTGGTAAAGAAATCAAATGGTTTGCATCCTGCGGGGGCTTTTCCAGAACTGATGATCTCTTCTTAACTATATGATTCAACCCTCTATCTAGTTCATAATAGTTTAATACAATTTCTTTATCCTGATTAATTTCAAGTGCAGCGAATAAAGGATTCCCATGATCAGTATTCAATGCAACTGTTTCCAATGTCAACACTCCTTTACTAGTGGATTCCAAAGGTGAACTCAACTCTTTTGATTCAATTTTATAAATTAGTTTATTTCTTTCCATGGCAGATACTAAAATACATCTATTTTCTGGATCAATAGCTAAATATTCACCAACATATGATCTGTTCCATCCATTTTTAGTCATTGATTCTTGTCCTTTAGAAATAAACCTTTCCTCTTTTGTTGAATATTCTAGTATTGATATATTTCCTGAATCACTAGTAATCACCAATGAGTCATGTTTTTCTTCAATACTTATCTTTTCAACTTTGTTTATAGTACCAAGTAAATTTTGAGATGTTTTAATTTGTAGTTTTCCAGAGTCAGGAAGTATTTCATAAAGTTGTAATGTGGTTGATGATACTAGGATCAATTGTTGAGGTTTCTTTTTCCTATCATCATCATTATCATCATTGATCGATGGATAAAATTGGCCAACAATAGATTGGGTGTAATGAGACCCAGGTTTCAAGGTTAGATTATACAAATATAAAGAATCATCATTAATCAACATGATTGTCTATGCTTGTCGATGGGGGATCTTGACTGGTGTGATTTTCATTCAGTCGATGAATATTTTTTTCTTTTTTGTTTTGGTTCGGCCAAGTCAAATCATCGCGATAGAGATTTTTCGAATTGGGCGGATTACTGCAAAAACCTGTTGGCCCCCTCTGCGAGCGCACGAGCGAGTGAGAGATTGAAGAGCCATTTGAATCATGAATATTAAACAACAAACATATCATTTGCTTACAACACAGTCTATTTACTTTCTACATATTCGACTTTAGACTTGACAACTTCTAATTCACCATCATCAACAATACCACCCATGTCGTCATCTTCAAAAGCAGTGGTATCTGAAATCATAAAGAAAATAAGTGGCACGGCAATCAATAAAGAACCTTGAACCAAAGCCCAAGAGGAAGCAAACATGCTCATATAAGGAGTATGAACTGCATCCAATCTCCAGGCAATAGCAGCACCGGCTGATTGAATACCTTTATAGAAACCAGCATAAAGGGAAGTTTTCTTTGGATTGTTGGACATAGCTCCCATAATCCAAATTGTAAAAGTTTGGAAAATAGCATCATAAACACCATAAAAGATATAAAGAAACATTGGACCAATATAAGCACCATCAGTGTAATCTAATGGATGAATAGATGGAGTATCAGATTCAACTTCATCACGAGTGAAACCCAATTGGAATTTCAAACCTCCACCCCAAATAGCCAATCCAGTAATGAACAAAATGGCCCAGCCAATCTTTGCTCTCATAGAACGTTTAAATTTCTTGAAATCTAAAATATAACCCAAGACAATAGCACCCAACATTTGAGCTAACCAGTACAACAATGAATTCAATGATCTAGTTCTCAAATTGAAACGACCATAATTGACATTATTGAATTGATAAGTATAGAACCAATTAGAAGCAAAAAACATTGGGAACAAAAATAAAATCCTTGGATCTTGGATCAAAGTTCTCCAAAGTCCAATTAATTCATCTTTCCAATTTGGATGTTTTTTAGCAACGACTCTAGTACCATCAGATTTCCAAACTTTAGACATTGGTAACATGAAAAATGCAACACCAGATCCACAAATCATCAAGACGATAAAGGCAATGAAAGTACCATCATTTGCGGCAGATCCAACATTTTCAATATTATCAGCCAATGGAATAATTGAACCAATAACTGCACCCAAGTTGAAAATAACCCAAAAGATCATAATTGCTCTACCTTTTGTTTCTTCAGTTGGGTAAGACATGATGATGGCACCTTGAGCAGCCCCATAAAATAGCAGCACAAATACCCAAGAATGCCTCGGCAAAAATAACAAAACCTTTTATTTTCATTTATGATTAAATGATAATAAAGAGGCAGCATAAATAGCATAACCAACACCACCAAACATTAAAGAAGCTCTAACACCAATGGTATTACAAATAGTACCAGCAAAGAACCCAATAGTTGAGAATGTGATATATAAAGAAGTCATTGCCGTGTCAGCAACCCATTTATCACTAATAGATGCACCAATACCAGA